GCGTAGGTTGACTTACCATGGTAGTGTAGACATAGCCTAAGTGACAGATCAGTAAAGGAGGTTTTGGAACAAATTGGTAAATTAAACAGTAAGAAGTCACCAGGACCAGATGGTATTCACCCAAGAGTTCTGAAGGACCTGAGATTTGAAATTGCAGTACTACTAACTCTGGTATATAATCTATTGTTTAATCAGCCTCTGTACCAGATGACTGGAGGATAGCTAATGTAACACCTATTTTTATAAAATGGCTCCATCGGTGATACTGGCAATTGCAGCCCAGTAAGCCTAATGTCAGTACCAGGGAAACTGATAATTCTGTTCTTTACTATAATTGCAAACAGAGACACAGATGAACATGATATGATGGGGAAGAGTCAAAGGAAATTATGTCTCACCAATCTATTAGAATTCTTTGAGGGAGTCAACAAACGTGGACAAGGGTGATCCAGTGGATATACTGTACTTGGACTTTCAGAAAGCCTTTGACAAGGTTCCTCACCAAAGGCTCTTAAGCAAAGTAAGCCTGTCATGGGAAAAGAGAGAAGATCCTCTCATGGATCAGTAACTGGTTAAAAGAAAGAAAACAAAGGGTAGAAATAAAAGGTCATTTTTCACAGTGGAGAGAGGTAAATAACGGAGTCCCTTGAGGATTTGTGCTGGGACTGGTGTAGTTAAAAATTTTTTTATAAATGATCTGGAAACGGGTAAACAGTGAGGTGGCAAAGTTTGCAGACAATAAAAATGACTCAGTATAGTTAAGTCCAAAGTGGACTGCAGAGAATTACAGGGGGATCTCACAAAACTGGTGGCTGGGGAACAAAATGACAGATGAAATTCAGTGTTGATAAATGTACAGTAATTTACATAATTCCATCTATACATACAAAATGTAATCTAAATGAGCTGTTAGCACTGAAGAAAAAGATCTTGGAGTCATTGTGGACAGTTCTCTGAAAAGATCAGCTCAATGTGTAACGGAGTCAAAAAAAGCTAATAGAATGTTAGGAACCATTAGTAAAGGGGTAGATAGATCATAAGGGGAACACAGAATGCCAGTATATAAATCCATGGTACTTCCACAACTTCAGTACTGTGTGCAATTCTGGTCACCCCATCTGAAAAAAGGTATGCTAGAACTGGAAAAAGTACAGAAAGAGCAACAGAAATGGTTAGGGGTTTGTAACCACTTCCACAAGAGGGGAGATTAAAAAGACTGGAACGGTTCATCTTAGAAAAGAGACAACAAGGGGGATATGATAGAGATCTATAAAATCATGAATGTTGTGGAGAAAGTGAATAAGGAAGTGTTATTTATTTCTTCAGTGAACACAAGAACCAGGAATGACCCAATGAAGTTGTTAACTCAACAGTTTTAAAGCAAACATAAGGAAATACTTCCTTCATACAATGCAAGTCAACCTGTGGAACTTGTTGCTAGGGGATGTTGTGAAGGCCCAAAGTATAACTGGGTTCAAAAAAAGAATTAGGTAAGTTCATACCATAGGTCGATCAATGGCCATTAGAATCATAGAATAGAATCATAGAATATCAGGGTTGGAAGGGACTTCAGGAGGTCATCTAGTCCAACCCCCTACTCAAAGCAGGGCTGATCCCCAATTAAATCATCCCAGCCGGGGCTTTGTCAAGCCTGACCTTAAAAACTTCTAAGGAAGGAGATTCCACCACCTCCCTAGGTAACGCATTCCAGTGTTTCACCACCCTCCTAGTGAAAAAGTTTTTCCTAATATCCAACCTAAATCTCCCCCACTGCAACTTGAGACCATTACTCCTTGTTCTGTCATCTGCTACCACTGAGAACAGTCTAGAGCCATCCTCTTTGGAACCCCCTTTCAGGTAGTTGAAAGCAGCTATCAAATCCCCCCTCATTCTTCTCTTCCCTAGACTAAACATGCCCAGTTCCCTCAGCCTCTCCTCATAAGTCATGTGTTCCAGTCCCCTAATCATTTTTGTTGCCCTCCGCTAGACTCTTTCCCATTTTTCCACATCCTTCTTGTAGCGTGGGGCCCAAACCTGGGCACAGTACTCCAGATGAGTACTCCAGATTACAGTGTCGAATAGAGGGGAACGATCACATCCCTCGATCTGCTGGCAATGCCCCTACTTATACATCCCAAAATGCCATTGACCTTCTTGGCAACAAGGGCACACTGTTGACTCATATCCACCTTCTCGTCCACTGTAACCCCTAGGTCCTTTTCTGCAGAACTGCTGCCTAGCCATTCAGTCCCTAGTCTGTAACGGTGCATGGCATTCTTCCGTCCTAAGTGCAGGACTCTGCACTTGTCCTTGTTGAACCTCATCAGATTTCTTTTGGCCCAATCCTCCAATTTGTCTAGGTCCCTCTGTATCCTATCCCTACCTTCCAGCGTATCTACCTCTCCTCCCAGTTTAGTGTCATCTGCAGACTTGCTGAGGGTGCAATCCACACCATCCTCCAGATCATTTATGAAGATATTGAACAAAACCGGCCCCAGGACTGACCCTTGGGGCACTCCACTTGATACCAGCTGCCAACTAGACATGGAGCCATTGATCACTACCTGTTGAGCCCAACAATCTAGCCAGCTTTCTATCCACCTTATAGTCCATTCATCCATACTTCTTTAACTTGCTGGCAAGAATACTGTGGGAGACCATGTCAAAAGCTTTGCTAAAGTCAAGGAACAACACGTCCACTGTTTTCCCTTCATCCACAGGACCAGTTATCTTGTCATAGAAGGCAATTAGATTAGTCAGGCATGACTTGCCCTTGGTGAATCCATGCTGACTGTTCCTGATCACTTTTCTGTCCTCTAAGTGCTTCAGAATTGATTCCTTGAGGACCTGCTCCATGATTTTTCCAGGGACTGAGGTGAGGCTGACTGGCCTGTAGTTCCCAGGATCCTCCTCCTTCCCTTTTTTAAAGATGGGCACTACATTAGCCTTTTTCCAGTCGTCCGGGACTTCCCCCGATCGCCATGAGTTTTCAAAGATAATGGCCAAGATGATCAGGGACACAACCCCATGCTCTGGGTGTCCCTAAACCTCTGACTGCCAGAAGCTGGGACTGGCTGACAGGTGATGGATCACTCAATAAATTGCCCTGTTCTGTGCATTCCTCTGAAGTATCTGGCACTGGCCACTGGCGCAAGACAGGATACTGGTCTAGATGAACCATTGATCTGATCCACTATGGCCATTCTTATGTTAAAATTTTTCTCTGGGGGGGCTGGATACTAGTTTTCTGTGAGCTACAAAAAGAAATATAATTACAGATTCTAGAATCAGATTTTTTTTAGGATTTAAGTTTTAGTTTTTAAGGCATTAATGGGGTCAAGAAGTAATAAAATTAAATTAAATAAGCATTTTGAGATATGGCTGCTAGAGAGAGTCAGTGGGAAGAGAAAAAGCAAAATGATGTAATTTTTCAGGTTGAATAGCTCTCAGTTTAGATAGTCTTTAGTTGACCTGTGTAAGTGCTTTAAAACCAAACAAATACTTTGTTTTCAACCAGTGGTCTGTGAGCCATGCAACATGAGAAGTTTTCAATCCCCACCATTTATTTTAGACAGTTGTGTAATTTATGCATTACTAGTTGCATCATATTTGTGTATGATCCGTAAACTTAATAGCATCTCATGCATATGTCATAAGTAACTGAGTTTTTTGTGTCTATCACTCCTTTATTTTCTTGCGTTTTATTTTATTTTATCCCTTATTTACAACTCCTCTGGATGTGTGTGTGCTTGATCAAAACCAATTATTATTTTTCATATTTGAATAAAGTTTTTTAAATCTAAAAATTTGCAGTTTTTCTCAGTGTGTATATATATCTACACATATAAAAAAATCCTTGTATTAATATACTTAGCTCTTGTAAGCACATTTCACCCATAGATCTCCAAATGCTTTACAAATAAAAGTGAGCATCATTATCCCCATTTTAAAGGTGGGGAAAATTGAGCAAAGAGAGATGAAGATAAACTCATTAATTAAATATTTAATATTGTGACCAGTTGTGGGATCATAAAAAAAAATAAAAAAATGCACATGCTCTTTTGGCTTGCTCTCTATTAAAGAACTGTCTGTGGTATTCTGTTTCCTCACCTGAAACATAACTTTAAGAGCTTTGACCACAATTATATATAACCTGTATAGCAATTTGATTGTGTGGTTTTGAAGATATAGCTGTTGTGCTTAAAATACAATAAAAATTAACCATTGAGTGGTAGGATCAAACGACTCTTAACCCATCTTACTGTAGTCAGGCAGAACAATTTAAATACTTATTCATCAAGAAAGAATTGTTCATTTGGTTGAAAATTAGAATTACTGGTTTATTGGACAATATGACTGCATCTCAGAGCCATGACTTAAGAAGAAGGTTGCTGGGATTGTGAGATTCTTCTCTTTCAGAGGTCAATGACCCTTTTACACAGCCTTCAAAGGAATTTGATTGCAAATTTGTTAGGTTTTGCAAGACCACTGGAATACCAGTTCACATAATTCAAAGTAAAACCATATTATATGCGTGGTTTGGTTTGTTTAATTTTAAATAGTAGTAAAAATATGTGACCTGAAACTCTCTCATTTAAGATACATACATTCAACAAGAACAAGTCAACTCCACTCTGCTAGCCAGTGAATGAAGTACAGAACTTTTTTTCATTCTCATTGTCTGTGGGAAGATACCCTCGAACTTCTGCAAAAACTCTATAAAATAAATTATGTAACTTTTGAATGACACTGTCTGCATCTAAATCAGTGGAGAAACAATAGAGCCTTTCACTGGAAATACATTTGTTTATGTCGTCCCATGGGTAATTACATTGTAGATACACAATGAAAATGTTTGTATTTTACTTTAAGTGTGAAATTCACACTTTCTGGGCTGTCAGAAAATGGATTACATTAGGAGTTTAATTTGTAAAATCTTCTATTATGCTATCAATGTTCGTTCCAATTTTAAGTTCACACTTTAATTTTTCTGCTGCTAGGAAAACCAAGAGATTCCCAGTCAACCAGAATCGATTCTAAAATTGTGCCGAAAGTTACCAAAATGACTGTGTCTGGAAAGAAACAAGCTATGGGATTTGAAGTGCCAAGGTAAACCAAGCTTTATACCTCAAGATACTTTAACAGTTCTTCTTTCAGACTGGTGCACCTGTAGCAAGTTTACTTCTTTTTTATATATTTTTACAGAGTTTTTAGTGTACATTCTGCAAAACTAACCATCTTGGCTTCTTGTTTGACTCATAATTACTTTCAGAAGAAGGCATCTCACGTTGTGAGTTTAACAAATCCTTTCACTATGAATAGTGCAGAGATATCAACTAGTCAGATTATTTAAACATCCGCTTCATAGAATGCTAACGCTTATCTTTCTGGAGGCTAGTTTATTTAAAAATAAATTTTCTAAATGGAATTATGAGACAAGTCACTAAAAACTATAATTGGTTATTCATTGAAAGGAAATAGTTTAAACAATGAGAACATAATTTATGGAGAAAATAATCACTTCAGGCTAATTGCCCTCCATTGCACATGCAACTTCCATTGCTTTAAGTGGAAGGCCTATACACATGATATTAGAAGGCAGAATTTGGCCATTTTTGTGCTCTCTAAAATAATACGATGATTGAGCAAAATTAGGAGGGTCAGATTAAATTAGGAGTTGTTGAGTAGTAGTCTTTCTTTTCACAGATTAAAGACCAAACAGATTAAAGAAAACAGTTCTGAAAATAATTTGAGTTCAGAGAGCTGAATCTTTAATAGTGAGCAACTGATAGCTAAGTATCATACATTGCAACAGTAGAATCTCCTATTCCTTTTTTTATGTATTTAAAAAAGAAAGTTAGTGGAAGATGTAGTGTTAGAAATATATCAGGAATAAAGCGAGAGTGAAGTTGAGCTATGGGAGCATTGTGTGGGATGTCAGCTTTCTTCCATAGTAAAACTCATTCATTTGATAGGAAAAATATAGCAACATGTTAAGTGTCTGAATCAGAAAAAGGACATCACAAGCACCAGCAGAAAAAACTGCCCTGCACGGCTCATCAGTGTGTACAACTCTGCTCTGGAGTGATCATTTTAGAAATGAGAGAGTGTTCATGTGCATTCTGTGTTCTGCCTCTGCTAAGACTGCCAAGAAAGTTGGCAATTCTGTCTGTTACAGGATTTTCTATACTGTCCATCAACCATGCTATCTAAGGGCAATTAATTTCAATTGTGATAGTGGCTTTGTAATATGGTGTCAACTCATGGGGCACTGCACTGAGACTATAATTTCATGCAGGCCGCTGAATATTCATCAGGTGGCAATAACTACTTTTAGCTACTTACCTGGAGCAAATTATAATATGTGAGTTGGAAGTTGAATCTAACATGTAACTCCTTGAGTCTTTCAAAATCCTGCCACTACTGCTGGGGAATCTGTGAAATAGAGTTAAGATATGACCAGTGACACACATCTATTCATAGTAACCAGTGACTCTGGATGAAATCTTTTCCCTATTGAAATCAGTGGCAAAACTCTCATTGACTTCAGTACGGACAGAAGATCACCCTCCCTCTCTAGTGTTTCCTATGGCACCTTTTATAGTCTGTGGTTCTGCATGGGAAGTGGTAAAACTCGTTGCTCTGAGTAAAAGTTTCTAAAAAAGAAAGAGAAAAAGTAGATGGAAGTGATAAAGCTCTCCATCCTTCAACAGTCCTATAAGGATTGTAGGAATAGTTTTGTTTTTAAGTGCCCAACAAAAATCACAATTAAAAATATTCTTCATATTAAAAAAAAGCAGTTTGGAGCTGACCATGCATGTACCGTTGGTTGAACAACAGCCACACTTTGAGTTCCTGTGTTGTCCATTTCTTGGGGCAACTGGGAGGTAAACTCTGGAAGACTACTCCCATATCCAGAGGCTAAAGTAAATTCAGGATAGGCAGCTGGTGGTCCATTTCCTTCTTGAAATCATCAGTAGTTTTGGCAGGGTTGTCACTATCCCTTTCTCTCCTCTAGTGATGCTAAACTGGAACTGTATATGCCTCCCTTTTAGTGGCAGTGCTGTTTTGTATGCTAGCAGTCTTCAACTCTGAAGTAGCTGCTTGTCATCCAGCGGAGTTTGAATGCTCAGTATTCTGAGAGAGGTTTAATTTCTCATGCAGTACTTCCTTTAAAAATAGTTGGGAACATTATAGAAGTGATGCACTAATTAGGATGGGGGAAGACTTTGTTCTGTGCAAAAAGCTACCATTGTTTGAATAGAGCCTGCCTTCTTAATGGAGCTTTACTCTAGTGGAATCATGGAAAGGTCATTATTGATTATGTAAGATGTGAGATCTGAAGAGAGTCCTGCTAGACGGCCAGAGAAGCATCCTGGCAAACAAGGAGCACTTTTTGGAGGGTTAGTTGATCAGATTTGTGTTTTACATGCATAGTCAGGTTGGAGAAGGCCGTACAATGGACAGTTTAGTCTGTAGGAAGCCTAGTGGTGGTGCCTGTAACTAGACCCAGAGTTGTTAGCCAAAATATGAGTATTGCTTTACAAGCTTATCACTCCTTTGCAGCTGTTACACATGTAGCTCTGAACTTGAAACAAACAAAAAAGCCAACACTGAGTCTCTGTACTACAGTGTTTTCTTTTACACTAGTATGATCTGGAATACTGAAAGCATAATAGTATGTTGTTTAGGATCAGGGGGAATTGCAAAGTTTATTAATACCTATGGAAGATTCTTTATTAGCTTTCTTTGGTCACTCTTGCTGTTAAGGTTCCATTTATAAATGGCTTACAAAGGTTTAAAAAATAGATTTTTTTTTATAAGTGCACTACAGAGATTAGTATGTGCTTATAGCCATTAATGCACTTCACTGTTACAGAAGGTTATAAGGAATCTGTTGGACTCCATAACAATCAATTAAGCATTTATTAAAACATTTTATAAATACTTTATCCCTTATAAACTCTGCAAATGGAACCTTAATATAAAGTGTGATCTTTTCTTCTTTAAAGAAGCTTATTAAAACAAATGGATGGTTACTGGCAGTTGTGAATTGCTTATAGAGTTCTGGTTGCCTTTCTTGGTGTTGGTGGATATTTTACAGGGATTATCCTGGAAAAATGTGGTTTGTTCATTTCTGACAAACTGCTTCTCTGGTCCACTAACTAAAGAAAATATTACCATTTTCTGTCTGTGCCTGAATTCATGAAAGAAACGAAAGCAAATGTAAGCAAATGAGGATTATTTCAGCCATGCTGACCAAATGTGTGTAACTATGATTTGGAATGGGCAAACCAATTTGGAGAGCTTCCTTAATAAATGTAAGTTTCCCAAAGAGAGCTTGCTGTACAAAAGAGGTTTAGTATCCCTGGTGACTGGAAGATTACAAAGAATATTTAACTGAAATTCACATAATTAAACCGTATCAGAAGAAATTGCACATTTTATAACGCATTCACACAATTAAACCAAACAGATGGAACTGCACATTTTCTGTTGCATTTTACTTAATTTGCAGTATTGAGACAGACAGACATTCTAACACAGTCTCTAAAAGTACATAGATCACAAAGTGGTGTATGCATGTATTATTTGAGAACACTCAACTGCGTAAGCACTTTGAGAATTCTTCTAGGATAGAGGTTGTTGAAGCTTCTTTTCCTTCCATAAATTAATGAAAGAGTTTCCTCCTACTGTGTTTTGAACTGCTTCACTTTTTCTTAGTTTTTTTGCTTTTTGCCTATTTAAGGGAAGTTTGATGATCAATTTAAATACAGCTTCTGGTTTTTCAACTGAGGCTCCATGAGTATTTGGTACTATGATTCATCATCTTGATGCTTCTATTCACATCATGGTGTTGCATCAGTGATAGTAATGTCTCGTGTTGTGGCAATATTGTCATGTGTTTGATAAAATGTCATTGTGGTGCTTCCTCTTCTAGCAGTGACATCATAGTACCTGAAATAAAGTTTTGGGTCAAGTTGAGAACTTGGATTTGATTAACTGAGACCCTCACTCTATTTGCCAAGCGCCTCAATTTTCCCTGTCCCATTTATAAGCAGGTCCCCCAACCTATTTGCCTGACCCTCCACTTTGCAAAGTCCATTTTCTCCTTCCTCCCATCTTCAGTTGCACCATCACACTCCCTTCTGCTTCTCCAATCCTGATCCTTGAATTCCCAAATCTCCCCTCCCCTTATTACTCTTAGGTTTATACTCAAACCAAAATATAAGTATACAAATGAATACATTTAATAATCTTAAGATTGTGACTTTACTTACTTTTTTTCCTTTTCTCCTTTCTTTATTCCTTTTCTACCTTACATCAGCTACTCAGCATAATTCTTCTCTTCCATTTTTCTTCTATAGTTTCTCTTCCTTTTACCCTCATCCCCTTTTTCCTCACCTCCTTTCCTTTCTTCCCTATTGTGCTTTCATCTGCCTTTGCAACCAGCACATCTAGTGTGTCACTCCTCAAGAGTCTCCAAACCCTCCTTTATAAAATCTTTCCCTCCTCATGTTTCCCAAGTCCCCTTCCCAGTTCCCATCATGCAGCTCTCACAGAAGTGAGATGAGGAAAGGCTTTGTTTAAGTGTCCACTGTTTCAAAAGTGCATTACCAGGGAAGGACACTCTGGGGACTCAGGCAAGGCTCCTTGCCGCATGGCAGCAGGACTTCTTTTCTGGGAGGACTTCCAACAGTAAGCTTTTTTTCCCCACTAATTTGGAAGGGAGGAGTGACTCCCCACCCTGGACTTGACATTCTGTTTTTAATTTCTTCAGTCCCATGGAGAGTGAACTATAGGTAAGGGTACTTATGTGACAAATAGCTAATGACTAAGTGGGGGGAAGTGGTAGCCAGCCATTAGGGGCCTCATTGAAAAGGTTCATAGTATTGCTGGAGGAGGATGGATAGTTGAGGCTGTGCACATAGGCTTCCAATGATGAGATTTATGACCTCTATAAATTGATGGTCTCTTTGACTGTGCATTTTGAGATCCCTAAAGACTGCTGTACTGGCAATTGCACCCAGAACTCTGAAGAAAGAAAATCCCCTAGCATATAAAGCTTTACATTTTCTAAGTAATTATCAAAGACTAATTTTCTGAGAAAATTCTAATTATTACACAGCCATAAAAGATTACTGCTAAGAAATTGAGACTTTCATAAATATAGTTAAGCCAATAAAAAAGTTATAACCTGTGATTAACTTCTGAATCTGTTGTTCAGTGCTCTTGGTTTTTTGTCTTTGCCTTGGTATTTGGGTAGCCTTAGTATAAAAATCTCTAGAAGAGTGCTTGAAAAGCTGCAGAAAAACTTCTGAATTCTGCTTTTGGGGTTGCATTAATTGTAGTTTCATATAGTTTCTTCTCTTTTAACCTTTGTTTTTAATTAGCCTGGGAAGTCATGTAGACAGTGAAAGGGGAGGTAGTGGGTCGCCATCTACAAAGTCAAGTTTGACCTCTTTTCTTATGCAAGAACTTCTCTCTAGATCTTTAAATGTCATAAGGAGACCAATATAAAGTATATCTGTTCTTTTGAATATGTGCAAGTATTACACTTTAGTCTGAAAGCACTGGGTGTGAAAATTACGAAGTATAAGTACCTAAAAAAAAGTCTCAGAGAAAAGGCTGGAAGAGCCTCTTAATCTTGATGGGAAAAGCCTCATACAAGTAAAGTATGTTTACATATTTAAGTCCGAAATAATGCATGACTTCCGTCAAAACTGATTTGGCCTACTTTATAACTTCTGATATTTAAAATCTACTGTTCAGGTAGTGGGAAAAGCTCTCTCACTACAGTTCTCTGTGCATGTGTATTTGGAGCAAAAACTAATTATATATTTTGTTTTATGAAATAGATGTCTAAACAGACAGGAATTGGGGAAGGTGATTTTGAATGAAATGAACGTAGTACTGGTTTGTTTCTAGAACAGGCATTCAGTTTAAACTTGACATACTATTTGTTTAAGTAATTTAAAAAAAAATGAAGGACTGTGGTATACAATGCAGAATAGGTGCTGATTTGAAATATTGTCTAGTAAAAGCAAGCATGGATGAGCGATGTTATATTTTTCTGTAGATTAGTTCAGATGCCGTCATTTTTCCCCCTTAACTACTTTTAAATATGAATGTTTTAATGATCAATTTCTTTCAGATCTTTAGCACAGGAAGTGAAGAATAGCTTCTTCAGTTTAAATTACAAGGGGAATTTATTTTGTTTGAATGTAACCAAGACAAAAGTGCTCACACACACCTAAATGGGGTGCCATGGGGACAGGGTCTTTAATGACCATCAGAAGTCATGGCCTTGGCTTTAGATCTCATCAGGAAGATGGCATCTTCAGCAGCACGTTGTCCTGATACAGTACGGGACCATTTCGTTTAGTTCTGAATTTGAGGAAAGAGTGTGACCTATGAAATCACCAGTGCCACTTCCTGTATCACATGTGGTAGACTTCCTTTGCAGGTGTGCAACGTGGGTCCTCACCAGGCTTAATTTTTTTTTAGTTAGAAACCTGACTAGATCATAAGCTGTCTCTGACACTACAATTATAAGAGTTAGAAAATCTGGGTTAAATTGTTCCCTATAATTTGTGTCATGGAAAATAGCCCAAAGTAGTGGTTTTCAACCCTTTTTCATTTGTGGACTCTTAAAAAATTTCAAATGGATGTATGGACCCCTTCGGAAATCTTAGACATAATCTATGGACCTCCTGGGGTCCACGGATCACAGCTTGAAAACCATTGGCCTAAAGTAAGAAAGAGATTCCTAATAGGGTTGAAAACTGGCAGAAAATGAGTCAGCTACACTGTTGGATGCCATCGTGTGATAAAAGGATGAAGCGGAACACCATGCTGATCACAAAATTCTGATGTATATGGAAAAGTAGTTTTGGTTATGAAAGCTGAAGGGGAGGAAACAGAGAAATATACTCTTACAGGTAAATGGAAAGTGAACCATGAAAACTCACTCTGATGCAACTTGAGACTGCATTAGCTTCCATTGGTAGGCCTTCTTGGGACAAAAGTGATGAATAAAATTATCTGCCTACAGAAAAGCCAACGGCAAAAGGGTAATGGGGTTTGGAGGCAGGGGGGGACACAGATATGATTATTGCAGTAACATCCTTCCATTCCCTATAAATATTTTTTTAAAGTGAAGTGTGGTTATGTGGCACTGCCTGGAGCACTTTCCAATGGCAAGCTGGTGCAGAACATGTACACCTGCCTCAGTTTCCCCTTGAAATCCACTTGTGAAAAGTAATATTTTATCTTAGTGGCAGTTTTGTAACCTTTTATTAATTTAAAGGGATGCAGTCCACAAATCTTCTCAAAAACAATTCTTCTAAAAATCCTAAAGTAAAACAAGTGTTTACTATGCAGAAGCTCTTCAATCCCATTCAAAGGTCACTGTTCCCAGATCACCTATCCGAGAGTCATTATTCACTTGGTCACAGTTCCTTTTAGCCTCTGTGTCAAGGCTGGATTCTCTAGGCCACCTACCTGAGATTTCCAAGACCTGCTTCTCGCCCACATTTTCTCCCATAGCCCCAAGTCATGTATCCCACAACAGAACTCCCTGCAGTGTTTCACTGACCAGACCTCTCTGCCTGTGAGTCCTACCCCTGCTCCTTGGATCTGTCCTTCAGTATCAACCCTCTTGTACTGGGCTCAGCTTCTCTTAACCAGGCTGGTTCTTATCCTTCTTTATAGGGGCTGATTCACAAGGGGTTCCCCAGCTCTGGCCAGTCCTCACCATCAACCTTTTGCTCTTCCCAGTCGCTTATTGTACCAGCTTGCTGCTGCGTCTCTCCTGTCTTCCTCAGGCAGCTCTCACCTGTCCTCCTCCTGACTCTGTCAGCTCTCTGTGTCCTCTTTTAAGCCCAGTTGAGGGTCAGCTGAGAAGTCACAGGTGCATTGGCTTTTTCCCTCTTAAAGGGCCAGTGTCACCTCTGACATGCAGTATTTTGCAGTAATTGTTCAAAACAGTGCAGTCTCGGTAGTTTGATGTATTTGGGCCATTACACTATAATACTGTAGTATTGTTTAATGAGGTCTTTCATATCTTGCTGTGTGAACTTATGCCTTCCCATTGATCCCATTCTAGTTCACCAGGCAGCTTACATGCACAGAGACTGAATGAGTAGATTTTTCTGAAGCTCTGGGTATAAGCCAGAATGGGAAATTTTTCGGTCTTCAGTTTTTGTTTACTGTGTTTGGCTTTTCTGTGGTGGACATCACCATAAGTATCTGAGCAACTCTAATTAATGAATTTATCCTTATGACACCTCTGTGCATTAGGGATTGTTAGCCTTATTTTACAGATGGGGAACTGAGTCAGAAAGAGAAAGGAAATGCTGTAACCAGGGTCACACAGAAGATCTGTGGTAGAGTTGGGAAGACAGCTCTTCCTGCAGATGTCCTGAATCCAAGGCCATCGCCTTAATCATAAGACCATCCTTCCCTTTTTTTTTTTTTTTTTTTTTTTTTAAACCTACCTTCCCCAACACAACTCTCCATAAACATGGCAACCATGCTGACTTTTGGGAAGGCATTGGAGAACTCCTAGCACTCGAGTGGTTTAGCCTGCATGCATGCAACAAAGTGGGTGCATTATCAGCCCAAGTATTAGCAACACTCAGGCTTTAACCTATATCCGAGGACTAGTCAGCTAAGCTGTTTGTAAAACACCACCACAGTTGGGTGAGAGGTTCTTGTGTATGGACAGGAGCCAGGTTAGGAACAACCTCCAGGTAAGAGTCCAAGTTAACTCTGCAGCAAAGACAACCCCTCATTAGTTGCTTCTCATAACTGTCTCTTCCCTCCCCATCAAAAGAAGTGGCCATGAGGAAGGGTTTTTTTGTCTTATCTGAATTTCAAATAGTACATGGGATGTTTTCTTCTTTTGCTTTTGTTCAGGCTGCTTTTCAGGAAGAATATTCAGAGCCTGTATCTGTCATTTGTGTTCCGTTGTTTATCACTTCCATTTTAATAGTCTCTAACTACTTATCAGAGATTCTTAATTTGAAGGGTTGGACTGTACTGGAGACACTCCCTTTGTTCTCTGAAGCTGTAGGGCTTCAGTGACATTCCCTATAAATCTTTGTTTTCTCTTTGCTTTCCCTAGTGTGATTGCTGAAGAGAATGGTCATAGTGCTAATACACCTCAAAAAAGACCATCATCTGAAGATTCCAGTGTCACTTCTGGAATAGTTGAGTTGGTCTCTAAATCAGCTCTTCCATCCCAAACAATTCAGATTCCAGAAGAGCAGAGTACAGTACCTACTCCAGTGAAAAAGTCCAGCAAGACAAGACAACAAATAGATGTGAAAGCAGAGCTGGAGAAGAGGCAAGAAGGAAAACAGCTGCTGAATTTAGTGGTCATAGGTAATACCCTTTTTTCTTTATTTTAATTCCAAATTGAATACATTTTGGGCCAGAAATGTGTGCTTGTTGAGTCTGGGAGTGATGCAGAAGCAAGACACTTCTCTGTTTAGGAAAGGAAACATCTCAGATTGCACTAAAAACCTGTCTGCTTTACCCTCCTCTGTGGAGGGAGCCACTGCATGGACTAAAGTAGTAACTAGGCCTTCTGCCTGTCCCTCATCCTCACCTTGTCAAAATAAAAAATACTTTAAAGTTGACTCATTTTTTTAGCATTATTCTTTTTAACATGAGTTTGGCAGAACAGAGGTCATTGTCAAACTTCACCTATTTCTTCTCTCTAGAAACCCCCACCCCCACCCCTCCCTCTCTCTACTATGTATGATTATCAGACTCTTGTGAATTGCATGAGCATGAAACAAAACTTCAGGGGATTAGATTCCCATATCTGCCAGTGTGTTTCTTTTCCAGCTGTATTATGAAGTCTAAAATGTGTAAATTAGTAATAGTAGTCTAATGGTTACTTCCCTTCTTAGGACATGTTGATGCAGGTAAAAGTACTCTAATGGGTCATTTACTCTACCTTCTGGGCAACGTGAACAAACGAACTATGCACAAATACGAGCAGGAATCCAAAAAGGCTGGCAAAGCTTCATTTGCGTATGCATGGGTCTTGGATGAAACTGGGGAAGAAAGAGAAAGGTAGGCAAGTTATCTTCTAGTGTGAACTAATGTTCTCTCTGATTGTAACGTGTTACTAAATGTCATTCTACTAATTAGCTATGTGCTACCTATATTAAATGTTTTAAAATGTTTGGTAGGAAATATTTTATCCTCTTTGTGTACATAGATATACACCATTTTGAAAGAAAAGTCAGTGTCTTATCTTGGTTGTGGAAATGGAATGGCATTGAGAAGTTGGGTGTTTTTTGTTAAAATCCTCAGTATGAGGAGCTGATAGAATTTGTTTTATCAATGCACCAGCATAGGTGAGGAGTTTAAGGAAGGTGAAATTTTTGGTCTAATATATCTGACTCGTTAAATTAATATTAGAACTATTTTTGAAAAGTCCCTGCCAGTAACATATTACATTGAAATAAAATGTGTAAATATTTTTTCTGTGTAATGCATTTTAAATTGTATTACAGTGAGGAAATACATGAGGAGGAAGTGATGTGGATAATTTAAAAAAAATTCATAAAATGGCTTTTTAAAACTGTAGAAATTGGATCTTTGGACAATGACCTTCTGTGTTCAGAAAAACATGAACTAAACTGTAGAATTAATATCTTACCACAGTTTTTGTGGTATTCACCAGTATCTTTGGTTTCATTTAAAACCACAGAAAGAAATTTGTTTATCTAATGTAATTGTATTTTTATGTCATGCTCATCACCCATGGTATCATTTTATTCAAGCTCCTCTGGTTGCATAGATAACCTTGAAAATGTAAACTGATGCAGAGGAATAGAGAGTGGGGTGGGCTGCAGAGCGTCTAGCTTTTTAAAAAATAAGAGAAATGAACTTGTGCAGTTCATACCTATAACTAAACTTCTGCATATGCCAGTCTTCCCGTACATATGTTCAGTACAAGCTTGTGTGTGAAAAGGCCAAAAAACCCCATTCCACCAAAAATCAGTGTTGCAGACAAAAATGTGAAAAATGTTTTTGGTCTCAAAGTTTAAACGGAATTTGGCCATCTGTTAATAAAATATTTCTAAATGTTGCCTTCAAACGAAAGTGTTCTTAAACATCAGGACATACATAATGGAAACAATGTCTTTTCGCCTTTATTTCTGTAAATAAAAGATTTATTCCATGTTTTAAGGGAAACTTAGAGAATTTCCACCCTCAAAACAGGCTAAGAACTTCTTGAATGATTTTTCCCTCATCCTTCTCTGCTCTCAAGCCTATATTTTAAAACTAAAATATTCTGAAGCTCTCCTCAAATATTTAGATAGTTCTTTGCTGTCATTTGGTGTCATGAGTAAAAAATAGATGGGCCAAGGCAATTTCCCCTGGGTGCTATTTAGTCAAATTTAGAATTGAGTCCAGAACTATTCTGCCCTTTCTGAATGATAACAGGCATATGTGAATGGGGGGGACATTTACGAAAATATAATCTTATTCCTGTAGTTGTATACGCAGTAATTTTTTCTTGGTTGTGCTCTTGCTGGTGTTGATGCCTATTTTTGCAGGGGTGGAGAACTTCAAAATACTGACTTACAAATTATGACAGCTGCTTTGCGCTTTAGTAGTTAATTCTGAACTTTGCTACTTGTTCTTTGATTCGAGGCATAATCCGTTATTGTATACAACTATCATATTATCAGCTTCTAGGACTTCAACTGTTTGCCTGTTCTCTTCCTATCTACATTTTTTGGCTGACTATACATCTCTCCTGCCTGGCATAGCAGAATTAGATTTGAATATCTTTATACATAGCAAAGCAGCATATAAAGGGGAAGGAGAGTAAAACTTCTCTCAGTAGCACATGCTTTCTTAACTTCTTTAAGATGAAATTCCAATGCAGATGGATAGTTTCTCCAATGAAAGGGAAAGTCAGTGTCACAAATAGACTTATTAAATTGGCCAAAATTTAGTTCTGGTTAAATCAAAAGGCAGCCACAGTGTTCTGATTTGTTAAGTCTACTATTTAATAACTTTGTGTGGTGAACTTTGGAAGCAGTTGTAATGGTGTATTACATGTTTGTTTTATTTAAGGGGAGTAACAATGGATGTGGGTATGACCAAATTTGAGACAAAGACTAAAGTTATTACACTGATGGATGCTCCAGGACATAAAGATTTCATCCCAAATATGATCACAGGAGCTGCACAGGTAGAGAACATTTCTTAACTGCACCTATCAAATATAATGTGATGTTTTATAATTTCGTATTCTACTTTATTTGAATCTAACCTTTTTAAACAAAAAAAGAAAAAGTGGAATCTTTAACAGAGTTTCTATATACTGCATATTATCAGTTAATAAATCTTATTCTGTTCTGTTCAAAATATCATAAATGTAAATTTATTCTATGCTTCCTAACCTGTAGAAAAAATATGGGGAAAAATAAGTCTTTATTTTTATGTCTCAATCTTTTTCTAAACTGAAAGCTGACATTCTTTTGTGGACATTTTAAAGGCAGTATTTTAGGTTAGTCAACTATATTGAGGTAAAAGGTTTTCACATTCATTAACGAACTACTTTGAATACTTTATTGCACTAGGATAACTCCAAGAACAGTTTAGCTTTAAATATTCAAACTTGAGATGTATGTACTGCTCAACAGGTAGTGCTGAAAAAGTTTTATAGGGTAAAGTGTTGTAAGAAGCTTTGAGTGAAAACAGGAGATAACATACTATGTGGGTGTACAGGTGAAGACATTCAGGAGACTGAAGCTGGTGCAGATTGTATTGGCTAGCTTACTGGGCAGGCCATCTTGCTGGAAGCACATGACACTAATGCTCTGGGATTTGCATTTGCTGTCTGTTGGTCTCCGGGTGAAGTTTCAGGTGTTGGTAGTTACATGTTAAAGCCCTGAATGGCTGGGACCTGCCTGCCAGAGAGATCACCACTTGACATACTGACACAGTTGCAGTCTTGCAGAGGTTCTTGAGCTGGATTTCCCCTGTTATGAAATGAAGGGGACTGCTAGCAGGGTAGTCTCTGTGGGAGTCCTGGGACTCTGGAACTTGCTTTGCAATGTGGTCTTGAAATAGCCTGAATTCAGTGACCTACCAGGCATGCTTCAAAAGCTACCGTCAATTTAATAGGGTTTTCTGGAGAGGATTTGAGGGTATGTTCTCAGAATGATGGGGAATGGAAGGAAGCTTTTCTTGCTGGCTGTCTGGGCTGAATTAAATCTGTTCCTTCGTGAAAGTTTGGTTTTTCAGTGTTGCTGGGTGTGTTTATGTTGTAAGATTGAGAGTAATGGCAGCTACAGCTTTGTATAGATGTTTTTTAATTAAATAAATTGAATGAGAGAGATTAACAGAGCTACATTTAAATGTATCTATCTATGTGATAATTTTTTTCTTTAAAAGCATAGACTTAAATTTAAAAAACTATTAACAGAATTGATTATTTACATGCAGAGAAGTCAGGGTAGTCAGTTTGGGTTCTCACAAAGTACTGTTTTGAGCTGCTGCTTCTGCTGTGCACGATACAGTCCATATTCCTGTTACTGGTTCGAATGTTAGAAGTTAAAATGTGTTGTAATGTTCTCTTTCCTATTAGAACTAATTCCTGTTTTACAATGTCCGCTTCACATTTTTGCCAGTTAGTTGGCCTTAGATACTGACACTATAATGGCCTGCAGGAAAGTCTGACTAAACTATTGTGCAGACATAATTGCCAAAGTTTCAGTAACAGGCAAGAAGCAAATTTGGGCTCTACTCTCATTACTGTATATTTGTTTGAAAAGTAATTCCTAGTCATATTTGTTATAATGAGTCTTACCCAATACTAGTATAGAGGGCCTTATGTAAGGTCTCAAAGTGCATCACAAAGGTGGATATTATCATAATTTTTCAAATGGAGAAATTGTAGCACACTGGGAAATTGTATGCCCAAAATCATACAAGTAGTCTATGGCAGATCTACTGGGCTGTGTTTTTTTTATGGTGTGGATGCTTATGCATGTTACAGAATGTCCATGATTTATTTTTAATTTTTTAAGTAGAAAAGGGGATCTTTAATCTCAGAAATATTGGAAAATGCTGCACTTAACTGTACTGTTTCCTTTAATTCTATTTAAATTATTGATTCATATTGGTGACTGTACAAGTAAGTAACATGGTGAGAATATACAAGTCCAGATCTTCAAATGCACCAGAGCTTGGGTCTGCAGGTGAAGATTAGGTGGGGCAGAGGAAGTTTTAATCCTCCTTTACACTCCTTCCATCCTTCGGCTGCCAGGGGCCATTCTAGCCTTTAATGTAATTAGAGGCTTGAGTGATGTTCTATTGTAGGAGATTACTGGAGGCCTGCTATTGCCATGCTCCAGCACTATGAGGAAGTGTTTATAAAGAGGTGGTGTAGAACAGACTCTGATGGCTCTACAGTAATTGGGAGTTTTGCCATTCTGAGGGAATCCCCAACTGCTGTTCTGCAAAATGCAAAGCAGCCCTATCAAAGGCCATGATCTGTCCTGCAGTACACAGTGTTAATAAAATAGTTTATGCATTTTTCAGCCCTGAGCGTAATTTTTTTTTTAGGGCAACTGTAGATATTTGGAGGGTTACATTTTATTTGTTGCAGCTTTGGCAGTTTTGAGGTGTGGTTGGTTGGTTAAATGAGAGTCTGATGTGAGTTCCCTGTAACCTAAGGGGCTGCTTGGGCATTGTCATGACATTACAGAGTGATGAGGTATGATATGTCTCTGGGTCATTTGGTGTGTGGCTCAGCTCACCTCATCTTATCCCTCTTATCACTTGTGTGAAGGAAGGGCATGAATTGGGACTCTGGCTTGGACCCAGGGTTCCTGGGCAGGCCTGAGGGTACGGAGAAGGCATTTCCCTTATACCCATTCTCTGGTTAGTAGAACGCAGGGCCTTTGATGCCCATTTGAAATCCACACTGGAACAGCTCTGTCAGGTAGTTTTAATAGTAGCTCCAGCTGGTTAATAGTTTTAATAAAGTTGCTGTCTCCATATTTAACCATACTCATGGTTACATGAGTGTATGTACATGTCTCATTGTTTCCCTGTCCACATTAGTGATCTAGAAATCAATCCTCATTCAACTGAAGTCATGCTGATATTCTCTTGGTGACCATAGAGGGTTAAGATGTGTTTTTGTGTGACCACTCAGGACCATATTTATCCATAATTCATTCTTCTTGTTGAAATTATTTTCCTAACCATCTTTTTTCTTACCTAGGCTGATGTGGCTATTTTGGTTGTGGATGCTAGCAGGGGGGAGTTTGAAGCAGGGTTCGAGACTGGTGGACAGACTCGAGAACATGGGTTATTGGTTCGCTCTCTTGGAGTAACACAACTGGCAGTTGCAGTCAATAAAATGGACCAGGTACTTGCTTAATAGTTTCCTTTAGTGAACAGTCTTGCGTCCCTTCCTGTGTGCCCTAAATTAAGGGGATCTGTGTTCTGAGGCCAGAAGGTTTGCCCTTTATAGAATAAGGCCCTCAGTTTATTTTCTTTCATAGTGTGCTCTATGCTGTTTTTCTCAAAAATATGGCAGAAACATTATGAACATTTTATTCATTAGGCTTAATCTTTGAACTGAAGTTTTCATAGAAGATCTTAGGGAAGGTACAGTATAAGAGGTCAATATAATTTGTATAGAGAAATATGCCAAAATCCAATATTTTTATCGAAATATGTTTTTATTTTAGGTCAGTTGGCAACAGGAGAGATTTCAGGAAATTACCAGTAAACTTGGCCAGTTTCTTAAACAAGCTGGCTTTAAGGTAAAGTAAATTTAAGATTATGAGATTTGTAAAGGATTGGGGCCTCCTATACAGCACCCTCTTCCAGCTAGATCCAGGCTTGTGCCTGCAGAGCCAGCTCCTTCACTGGGAAAATCCTGCCTAGGGTCCTCACAGAATCCAGGGAGGAGAGTTTTTTCAGTCATTCATTGCTGTGGGATTTTTATTTCAAGCCTTCTTAGTGAAAACCAGGATCAACACTTCACAGCCTCTTGTTTTTGTTGTGTGTGTGAGAGAGAGAGACAGCAAGTTGCCAGTCTTTTCCTATGTGCAGTGGATAGGGTTTAATCAGCCAGCCAGCTACCAGCCTCTGAACCGAGGGGTATACCATCTCTTATACCTTCACAGATTGTTAACACTTTGTTCATACCTTGCTGGTACACTGGGACTAAGGTGGGATGAGTTTGTATCAGTTTTGCCTGGGCATATCAGCAAGGTCTGGGTTTTTGCTGTGCCGCCTGTGCTGAACCCATTAGTGGGTTAATGGGACATAGCAGAGTCTGAATTGTACCCCACATGCCCTACTAGTGGGTATTTAGGCAGTGTCAGGTGTGGACAGCGAGTGTTTGGTGCCCTTCCAGCAGTCCCACCCTCCCCTTACTTTAGATCTCCTGGGATGCCAGAGTTGTGGCTGGTTGCCTTCTTTGGAGTCTGGAAGGAGTGTTTTCATCAAGGCAGAAGAAAACACTTTCCACATTTTATACATCTTTCTTCTGGTATCCAAGAGGTCTTGTTTAGGGGACTTACTGTAGATAGTACACATTGTGAGTTAGCAAGTGCAATTTTGGGACCCTTCTCATTTGAGAAGGAAGCAGGCTTTGGTCCTGACACTCTCATTGCATGATGGGTGGGGGATGTCATGGGGTCTCCTGAGAGTCTTTTCCAGCCTCAGTAACTGCTCCGGGTGTTCTTAACCACCCTTGTACTTTATTATATCCTTTCAGTAGGCTACAGTCGGGAGTATTGTGTACATATTTTTCACAGAGAGTAGCCAGCTTCTTCTGCTTGCTTCTGGGGAAGGATACAGGATTAGCTGCAGCCAGTCCTGCCTTGCTTCAGGCTCCCTACTCTCCTCCCTAGCATTTCCTTCCTGTCTGCTTATATAGTCACAATTGTTGTGATTCCTTCCATCCAATTAAGCCCTCAGCTGTATCTCTGCTCAGTCAATTAGCACCCTCTGCCAACTGCCTGGCTTTCAGTCAGGTCCCAATTAATGTATATTGGTGGGGATTTGATGACCCTGTTACAGTGTCACAGTTTAGGGCAACTGCACCTGTATTTCCCCTCTATGGTCCAGCAAGGGCACCCACTTTCAGGCTTCCGGCTCTGCAGCTGGTGCCTTTCTTGGGTAGAGACCCACATCTTGCTCCCATCTGACCAGGGTATTTCCAGGCTGGCAAGTTTCCTGCCTTCCCTGTGTATTCCCAGCAAAAGCCAGTCTGCCTAAGCAGGGCATGCTTCGCTTCTCTCCCCAGAGACTGTACACAGTTTATTTGCCCCAGTTATAAGTCACCACACAGTTCTTTCTAATCAAGCCTATTTTATTCTTAAGGCAAAAACACTGCAGGGAAACAATAAAAGAGCCCACATGCATGGTAATAAGTTTGCCAGGGATCACCCCTTCCAACATGAAGAGAAGTCCTTCAGATCCCTGCCCAGAAGTTTTCCTGTGGTTTCAAGTTCACCACACTGTTTGCTCTGAACAAGAACACAGTCTTATGGGGCCTAAGTAGCCATCCTTTCTGAATGATTGGGGCCTTCTTTGGACCGGAGTTTGCCCATTTACTGGATCGGAATAAAACCCCTGAATCAGTTCATCACCAGATTATTTATCTCAACCTCCATTCTTTGTCTGCTGGTCTCTTGAGAATCCAGTTTGAACCTTTGAAGAAACTGTGACTAGGTAATCAGCCAGATAATGGTTCCCTTCCCCAGAATAAAGCTTTGAGAGGCTGCTAACCAGAGGAATTTCAGCAGCATGCCCCCTTCTCCTAGAGACATTACATACTTATATGTTGTTGTGAGATTGTAATTGCATTGTTAATACAGTTGCCCACAAAGGTATTGCATTTAATGCAGTAAAGTTTAACTTAATTCCGTAAGGTTTATCCAGGGTATTGCATTATCTGTCACAAGGGGTATATGAATCAATGTCTTAAGCAGTGAGGTTTCTTCTTTGCGTAGTGTCCCTATGGGTGCTCCACTGTAAGTGTGTTTGAATCCCTGCGCTGCTGATCAGAGAATTTCGGTAGCAATGTCCATTAGGCCTGCACATGTGCTGTATCTCCTCGTGCTGCGCTAGCCACCGCATGCAGGCTAACCCCCTCAGTTCCTTCTCAACAGCCCCTGGCTAGAGGCGGAGCCATTAGCAGTCCATTAAGACTGTCGTTTTATTTTACATACCTATAGTTAATCTCCTAGTTCTAGTTGTAGTCTTCTTCTCCTTTCTTATTTTATTGGAGGGAGGGGAAAAGACTTCAATTTCTTGCCTGCTTTTTCTCCCCTGTCGGGGACCCTTCCCCACAACTGGGTGTGCCCGGTATGCTGGTCTTCAAGAAATGTCTCACTAGTAAAGAGGCGATCCCAATTGCAGAGAAGTACTCTCAGTGCATTCACTGCCTCGGGGAAGGCCACATACAACAAATGTGTGGTCTTTGTCAACAACTCTGGCCCAGATCTCACAAAGACAGAGAGGTCTGCCAGAAGACCATCTTCATGGAGGCAGCTCTCACCCCAGTCACCTGGTAGACATGAGTCTTCCCCACAGCCTTCTATGTCTAAGGGCTGTGGGTCGAGAAAACAAGCTACGGACCCTTCTCATAAATCATCTAAGAAGAGAGAGTGAGGTCCCCACAGTGAGCCTTGAGATAGCCATAAGCGATCACCATCTCGCTCGGTGTCTTTGGCACCGAGACCATCTCATGGTCTTAGTACTGAAGATTCCCTTGGCTCATGGAGGCCAGCAGCAACCGGTACTACTGACAGGCCCATGGACCTGATGGGCACGGGCACCGAGTCATCAGCACTGAAGGACAGGAGTAAGCACTCCTCTAAAAAGACACTCCCAGTATGCAAGTCCACATTAGCGCTGCCAGTGACAGCTTCAGAACTGCTTCAAGATATTGAGGAACGGGAAGCCGGTACTGAGAACTATGTTCTCCTCCTTCTCCAGATGAAGCTGTCATGCCTCCTCCACCGTCTCTGGCAGATGACTTTTGATCCTTCCAGGAGCTGGCAAAGAGAGTGGCAGACACTCTTTAGATACCATTGGAGGAATTCAAGGACACCCACCATCAACTCCTTGACATCCTCCACTATACATCCTCCTCAAAGATCACCCTCCTGATTAATGAGGCCGTTTTAGACCCGGCAAAGACTGTGTGGCAGAACCCAGAATCAGTGGTGCCAACCTGCAAGCGAGCAGACAAAAAATACTATGTGCCTGCTAAGGAATCTGAATTCCTATTCTCCCACCTGCCACCCAACCCCATCATGGCGGACGCCTTAAACTCCCGGGGATGACAACACCAGTCAAGGGCTACTCCCTAGGATAGGGATTAGAAGAGTCTTGACATTTTTGGTAGAAAAGCATACTCCTCAGCCATTCTACAATTTTATATCGCCAACTACTAGGCCCTCACGGAGAAATATGATTACATAAATTACTTAAAACTCAATAAGAAAAGGAGGACTTGTGGTACCTTAGAGACTAACAAGTCCTCCTTTTCTTTTTGCGGATACAGATTAACACGGCTGCTACTCTTAAAACTCAATGACTTTATTGAAAAGATGCCAGAAGCATATCACGACCAATTTAAGGCCATTATCCAGGAGGACCAATTAGTGGCAAAGACATTACTGCAGTCTGCACTCGATACGGCAGCTAGGTCCATCTCCACACCTACGGTGATGCTATGAACGTCATGGCTTCGTTTGTCGGGCTTCCCGAAAGAGGTACCCTACGTCATTCTGATTGCTCCTATTTGGCCAAGACAGACTTACTTGTCACAGCTCGCATCGTGCCCAATGATCCCTCTCCCGGACATTCCGCACCTCCTCTTGCAGAACACTGAAAAATATTTGGGGGTCATGATGAATAATTATATGAACATTAGCTTCTGGTGCGGTGTTGTGGCCAAAATGGCTAATGTGGTCCTGGGATGCATAAACAGGGGAGCCTCAAATAGGAGAAGAGAGGTTATCGTACCTCTGTATTTGGCACCGGTGTGACCGCTGCTCGAATACTGTGTCCATTTCTGGTGCCCACAATTCAAAAAGGATGTTGATAAATTGGAGAGGATTCAGAGAAGAGTCAAAAGAAATGATTAAAGGATTAAAACATGCCTTATAGTGATAGGCTCAAGGAGCTCAGTCTATTTAGCTTAACAAAGAAAAGGGTAAGGGGTGATTTGCTTACAGTCTGTAAGTGCCTGCGTGAGCACAGATATTTAATAATGGGCTTTTCATTCCAGCAGAGAAAGGTATAATATAATCCAGTGGCTGGAAGTTGAAGCTTGACAAATTCATACTGCAAATAAGGTGTAAATTTTTAACAGTGAGGGTGAATAACTATTGGAACAATTTACCAGGAGCTGTAATAGATTCTAAATCACTGACCATTTTTAAATCAAGATTGGATGTGTTTCTAAAAGATATGCTTTAGGAATTATTTTGGGGAAGTTCTATGGGCTGTGTTATAAAGAAGGTCACACTGGATGATCACAGTTGTCCTTTCTGGTCTTGGAATCTGTGAATCTAGGCCATTGTGGCAAACTAGCAACCTGCACTGGAAAATTCCTGCCAGTTGAGGGATAGGGTTAGGGGTTCTTCGCTGAGTTCAGTTGTTGATTACAGTTAATAAAGTTGCAGCCTTGACATGTAACCTATATTTCTGTGTTTGTCTCATTGCTTCGATGTACAGTAAATAGAAGGAAGCTGGATCAGCCAAAAAGGCCTTCAAATTTTGAATAAATTGAGTGTCCATCTTAATAGAAGCCAAGTGTTATCTTATTGGGCACAGTATTTTCTTTTTCATTCAAGGGAAATGTGGAATAGTAAGCAAAGGGTCCATAAGCTTAAAAACAGTTATAATATTGAAAATGTGCTCTTTGCTGCTGCTTTTTCATGAAGGTACCATTTTAGAGAAACACTGTATATTTATTGTAGACTTTTGTTTTGTTTTGTTAATAAGGAGTCCGATGTAGCTTATATCCCTACAAGTGGTCTTGGTGGTGAAAATCTAGTCACAAGCTGTCGATCAAGTGAACTCACTGAATGGTATAAGGGAAAATGTTTGTTAGAACAAATTGGTGAGTGTACCATTCTGCTTGATTTAATATTTATTTGGTACATTGTAATCTTGTTTATATCAAAAATGTTCTTTTGTGGGGAGGGAAGTTGGGGGGGGGAATAGAATGCAATATAGTTGATTACTTAAGTGAGAAATTGTGAGATGGTCTTTTTGATTACTAAATACAGGAAATCTCAAGGTATTATCAATTTTTTTTTCAGATTCTTTCAAGCCACCACAGAGATCAGTGGATAAACCATTTAGATTATGCGTGTCTGATGTTTTTAAAGGTTGGTTTTACTGTGTATAAATTTTATTTGACCAATCATTTTGAAGATGTAAGTAAATCTCTCACATGAATGCACACACATGTAATATGTATGTGTGTGTGTATTCTGAAATAATTTTAAATAATTTTAAAATCATATTTCTTATACTGTTAAAATCTGACCATAAAATAAGTGTAAAAAGAGACTTTTGTTCAGGGGATTATTCTTCTTTTCTGTGTGCAAAGCACTTTTATTATTGTGTGTATTATTATTCGTATGGTAGAGAAACTGAGGTAAAAGATTGTGGCTTGCTCATGGCCATACAATGAGTTGGTTGCAGAATGGGGAATAGAAATCAGGGGTCCTGGCTTCCAATCCAGTTCTTATTCTTTGAGACCATTACTAAGTGACACCGTGATCTGAGATTTAATATCCAACCTGACATAGTATCCATTAACGTATTGCCATATCATAAATTGTATTGTTTTACTGTTGAAACTTTAAGATTTTATCATATTGTTTGTATAGTGTGTACATACTTGGAATCAGAGTGATAGTATAGTAATCTGAACATCAGGTTAAAAAAGCCAGTGAAAATGGAATTAGGTTCAAATATTGGCAATGGTAGAAAAATGCATTCCATGCAGATTGGGAGAGGGTCTTTTTCAAAGAGACCTTTAAAAACTTAGGACCTATCAGCTCTGCAAGAACATTGAGGATCTCATGGTAAATACTGTAACACTAGATAAGGGTTTGTCCCAGTACCTTGGCCAAAATTTCCAGTACTACCACCATGACTGTACTGTGTATTGCATATGAGAGTAAATGTCATTACAGTTTTGCTATATGTATATAGTATGTAAAGCTCATTGAGAACCTTTATGATGAAAGGCTTTATTATTTGCAGTAACTAATTTTGCATTGAGCTTAGTTTTACAGATATACTAAAGAACTAAAATGAATAATTTCAGTAAACCTACTCCATAAAAAAAATCTGCATTTTCCAAGTTTATTGGTGGTGGTGATTATGGGAAGTATATCCCTGTTTACAGATATAGGGTCTGTTGTTTAAATAGTAAATATTATTATAGTTGCACATACAGATCACACCAAGAATTTCTGCATTCAAAGCTAGCTTTGAACATGCATCCAGCTTTGAAATTTGGGCTCATAGTTTTTGATTTTAGGTTTTTGGTTTTTTTCTAGCATACACAGTTCTCTCACTTTCCACACTTTTGGGGTGTTATGTTTTTTATCATTTGACCAACACAGTAATAATTCATCTATAAGTTTGCTCTAATGGAGAGGAAAAATGTCCCATTGGCACATCTGGTAATGCTTTTCTAGGTACATATACTGGAGCACCTTACAGTAATGGCAATGAGTAGGAAAGGAGGAAATGTATTCCATCTCTGATGAATATAGCATGCATACATACATAAAAGAAGTGTTTCCAGATGCACACTGAAACTTTAAAAACTTTGTTTAAAAAGACATTTTGTGTAAAACCAAACATACCTGCATATATGCAGTCTCCATAGTTTGGGAGAAACAACTTTGCTTCAAGTGTGTCCGTAAGAGCAAGAACAGTAACATACGACTCACCTTTTAATAAATAACCAATGTGAACATTCCTATGACTAGAAATGTACCCAGTATATAGACCTTCAAAGTGAGAAATATACTTTGTAAATCCAATACTTCTTTATTCATAAAATATGCTACACTCTTCCACCATTATTGCAGTAAGTTTGGGTGGCAAACCAATCTTTAACTGATTTTCCGAGAGTATAAAATGCCAATAGAGCTTCCATAATTTCTGGTTCATTGGACAATAAACATGCATGAATGCATGAGGGTTTATTAAGGTGTCTCAATAAATATTTTTGTCTGTAAACAGTGTTTGGGGTGCTTAAAATAGGCTAATGATCTAATTCTTGTATTGAAAAGCTAAAAACTGGATATTTATGCAACCACATGAATTTTAAAGTATAGGTTTCTGCTCTTAGTTAAGAAAAATATCAGATCAAGGGGTTTTGGAATTAATGGTTTGTTTTCAGTATGATGTAAAACTGGTGACTTTACAAGTAATGAATACTGACTCAGCTGAGAAAATGCTTTTTATCACATTAAAATCTGTCTACATTGCTAATGGGTTAATTGTATATAAAAATGCATTTTACCATATAGTTAATTGTTTTATTATTTTAAATGATTAACATGCTTATTACAGACCAAGGATCAGGATTTTGTGTGACTGGTAAAATAGAAGCAGGATATATACAGACTGGAGACCGACTTCTGGCTATGCCTCCCAATGAAACTTGCACTGCAAAAGGTATAGTATTCAAAAGCTTGTTTACTTTCAGGTCAATACTGGTCTAGGAACAGTTACTGAAATGGTAACAGGTTGTCAAACTGATACTAACTGTCAAACATAACATGTGAAAGCATAAACGAATTTTAGATGTGACGGTATAAATATCTGTCTTTGAAAGATATGTGAAAGTTCGTATGGGTTTTCATCTTTTTTACAGTGCTAGTTATACCAAATTTGTCAGCCTCATGTTTTTTTGAGTGAAAATATGAGAATTCTGCAGTTCATAGCTATAAAATGTATGAAACACAAAAAATCATTAGTAGTCAGATTTACTTATGAGCATTGCTATTTTTGTGTGGGTTTTAAACAGCCCTTGCAGGTAAATCTTGACTGCTGAAGATTTTTATATCCTGTTGTGCTGTAAAACATTCCTTGCTGGGGATGGAGGCACTTAGCAGCCCAACTGGATCCCAGGTGCTCAGGGGAGAATTGCAAATATATTTCTGCAGTCTTAAAAATTTCAAGGAACAAAAGAGTGTTAAATCATATTTCCCTTTCAAAATATGCCAAATAAATTTCAGCATTTAATTTTATTTTTTCACAGTTTTCTTAATTCCTGTGTCAACAAATGGAAGAGAGAATGGAATTTGTGTTGAAAATAAGTTTTGTTTCAGTGTATTTTTCTGATGATGGTAAAAAGTTACATAACTGAGGAAAATTGCTGAATATCTATTTGTGTTAACAATTAAGTATATAGTATTCAGCATTGGGGGAAATTAAAACCCATTTTTCTGATTTCGTCATATGGAAGAGTTGATGCTAAATTTATTATTTGTTTTGTACCACTGGTTAATGACTGAACAATTTAGCCCTCGTGAAAAAAAATTCAAAATATTTGTGCGCTGATATTAATATGCAAAGTAATGGCTGGTACATTTAAATATGTTAAGGTGCAAATGCTTCTCCATTACATGGAACAGAAGTAAAAAACATGACATTATTATGTGTTGGAACAAAATCAACAAAATCTTCATACAGTTTGCAGTAGTAAAATGCATAGATATGCCCTGCTAGATATATTTAAACTAGATGAAAAATAACAATGGTTTAAAACATATGTTTATATGTGTCTTTTCTCCAGTGCACTCTGTTGCTCTGGTTCTCTAGTGCATTAGAGTCCAAGGGCAAGTTACAGCAGTCAGAGTATGCTAAGTGCGGGGATGCCCTGACCACTTTCCTACACAGGTTGCAGGAGAGGAGGAGGTAGCACAGAAACTACTATGATTGGTCTACGTCATCTGGGGATCCTCCATCCTATGTTGGGAAGATCCATCTGGTGCTGGAGCATCACATAGTGGCTCAAATGTAGCTGAGGATTTGGAGTCATTATTTATTACATGCTTACATTTAAGGAAGAGAAAATAATGTAATATATTTATATTTAAATACAAACTTGAGGCATGGTAACTTGTATATGGTATGCTATTAGCTTATCATTTATAACAGAAAGAAAAGTCTGAAGTTCATTTATCCATGTATGGGAGTGCCACCTGTAGGTGAAGTAATTATCAACATGGCTTAACAAAATAGTTCCTCATGACTTTGACATGCTTGAATTTGAATGACTCTATGCCTATTCTGGAAGGGAGCAGGAGAGACAGATTTGAAAACTAAGAAATACAGTTTGGTACATGTTAACATGGAATGTGTTTTGTTTAAATTGTTGTGATCTGCAGTGAAACAGACCTAGGTCTGTGAATGTGTGCAGTATTTACCAAAGTTTTCATTTTATAACACTTACCTTTCTTCTGATCAATAGCATTCATTTAAAAGTCATGATGAATTTTTTATTCTCACCTATAAGTCTACACCAGTGGTCACCAACTGGTTGATCGCGATCTCCAGTGGTGCAGTGTGCCCACCTCCCTCCCACACTGCTCCCGGAAGTGGCCAGTGCAGCCCAGGGGGCAGGGGTCTCCCTCCGCGTGCTGCTCCTGCCTGCAAACACCACCCATCCCCGCAGCTCCCATTGGCCTGGAGAGCTGCGTGGGCAGTGCTTGCAGAGAGGGTCAGTGCATGGAGCCACGTGCCCCCCGTCAGTCTCCCCCCCCGGGGGCGCATTGGCCTTTTCCGGGAGTGGTGTGGGACTGGGGTAGGCATAGGAGTCGCTGGAGGTAAGTGCTGCCCGGCAGGAGGCCACACCCTAAACCTCATCCCTGAGTCCCCTCCCAGAGCCAGCACCCCATACCCCCTCCTGAACCCTCTCCTGTACCCCAAGCCCTACCCTGAGCCCCCTCCCAGAGCCAGCATCCCAAATCCCCTCCTGTACCCCAGCCCTGAGCCCCCTCTTGAAGCCAATACCCCATACCCCCTTCTTCACCCCGAACCTCCTCCTGCACCCCAAGCCGCAGCCTGGAGCCCCCTCCCAGAGCCAGCACCCTGTACCCCCTCCTGCACCTCAGCACTGCCCCACCATGGAGCCCCCTCCTGCACCCAAACTCCCTCCCAGAGCCTGCACCCTGCAACCCCTCCTGCACCCCAACACTCTGCCCCAGCCAGGAGCCCCCTCCTGCACCCAAACTCCCTCCTAGAGTTTGCACCCCTCACTCCCTCCTGCACCCCAAACCCCTATCCCAGGGTCAGCCCAGAGCCCACACCCCCCCCCCGAACCCCAACACTCTACCCCAGCCTGGTGAAAGTGAATGAGGGTGGGGGAGAGCAAGCAATGGAGAAAAGGGGAGATGGAACGAGCAGGGTGGGGCTTTGGGGAAGGGGCGGGCATCAGGGAAGGGGAAGGGTAGATCCTGTGTTGCCCTTAGATTAAAAAAGTGATCTTGAGCGTAAAAAGGTTGGAGATCACTGGTCTACACCCATGAGTGCATACCTCACAAACAGAATATAATACCTATTTAGTAGCTTTCTAATAGATAACATGATGCTGCAACCCAAAATCATTTGTTGCATCCTTCTATGACAGTGAGCCAGCGAGCGCTAACCCATGTAGGGTAAATGAAAGTTGACACTAGAACCATTAAGGAACATGAAAGGCGGTGTAAAATATTCATGTGCATCAGAGGATGGGTGGGGCAAGCACTGTGGTATTAGTGCACAGTAGTATTTTCGAGACCGCATCATCTGCACTGTGTGACTAGCGGCAGGTCCACTCCCATGACTTAGACAAAGCCATATTAATATACAGGGTGGAGTGAGAGCGATAAGTCCTGACCAAAAAAAAAATTGTTTCCTTTGTGCTTTTAATCAAAAGCTTTTACTCTCAGCCCATTCATATTGAAAATTGATGAGTAATGGTTGATGAAGCACAAATGGCCCAAACAGAGCTGTATGTTTGTAGCTCAGAACCTAGGTACTTCACTGTGAGGTTCTGTTCTTACTCATTTCCAGGAATCACACTGCATGATGAACCAGTTGATTGGGCTGCAGCAGGAGATCACGTTAGTCTCACTTTGACCGGCATGGATATCATCAAAATCAAGTGAGTCCAAATCTGAGTTTCAGTCTAAGCAACCGTTTGTTTTTAATGAAAAACCTTGTAACTACTACACTTTACAGTCAGCGGTTTACTTGAAGAATGATTTGGTTACCAGGATATTTAAAACCAAAGTGATGCATATCACCTGGCCTGCATGTACAAACGTTAGAAACATCTGCTGCATGTGCAACGGCAACCTCAGAAGAACACTGTTCGTGTTCATGATTAATTCACCCTAATAATGGCAGAAGTGACTGTAAAAGCCTTTTGCTTATGCTTCCCATTCTTGGAATCTTAGAACATACATCTTAATTGCTAAATGGAACTTCAGAGAATACTCTAATATTATATTTAGAATTTAGATAGTATAAAAGATTTACCAAGAATTCACCAAATTGTAAATCATCCAGACAACAAAGCATGTCTAAACTGCCAGCACGTACAAGCCTTGTACCAGTAACTAAATATGGCCAAATTTGTAGTGAACAATTTATTCAATAAATTTAGGCCCTTATTCTGTTTCTAAATTATTGGGAAACAGATGTCAATTTTTCAAATAAATAATAAATGGTTTATATAAGCATATTTCAGCCTACTCATATCTAACACTGTGTTTGCCACAACTGTTGCAATGAGTATTGGCTATTTGTAAATTGCTATTCATGCAACATTGTTAGTAACATAATTCATATGGCTTCTTTTCTGCTTCCGGGTCAGAGTGCCAAACTCACATGGATCTTTCAGGCTGGTTGACCAAATGCTTCTAGCCTCTATATTTGTGCAAATTTATACTTTGTTTATGAAAGGAAAGAAGACAGTTATTTTGATTTCCTTCACTGCAGTGGTATTCCTGTGAGAAGTCCTTGTGCTGTTGTCAAATGGAGTTAGGGTGGGATTTGTGCTGTCCATGTTCTATAGGTGGTTTATCTTGGGTGATGTAAATTTTTGGGAAGTAGAGGTCCTTAAGTTTCAGGTCTATTGAAATTGTTGGTATTTTGTTCTGTCCAATTCCTAGGGCATGGCTGCGTTGCCCAGATCCCTTGGCCAAAGTTTTTTTTATGGTCATGTTTAAAAGGGTACAACTGATGTTGTTGTGTGTGAGTAGCAAAGTGATGTATGCATGGGATAGGGCATTGGTTTTCTTTCTGTATGTTTTTTTTGTTAGTGGAGAGCTGGTTAGTTCTGAGTGACACAGGGCAACACTCATCCCCATCTCCCTTTGCCCACAAAAAAATGATTTCTTGATTTAACATTGCCAGTTGCTCTTCTTAGATTCAGTATAGTTCTATTATGAAGGTGGATTTATTTTTTGCAACTGAATATAGTGCTGATGAAAGTTGCAAGGTTTGACAATGCTGGAGATTGAAGCCCTCAAGGTACAGAACAGGTAAATAATAGGCAGCAGCACTGCAAATTTGCCCATCCCAAAATATCTTGCAGAGAGATGACCTCTGGGTGACAGGCTAATTTATTCTCCTAAGTGTCTCTTCTCACCAAATAATGTCATTTCAGAAGAATTTTAGCAGTGGAGGTACTTGTCCATTTGGATCTTGCCATAATTCTTTGTGCTCACCCATAAAACAGCTTTTATATCCTGTAGTAATGCACTTGACTGGGTGCTTTAACAGTGTGATGTTTTCTTTTCACATACAGCATATTAATGTGTCACTTCTTTAACTTAGTGTTTACTTAAAAATATACTGCTTAACATTTTTCCAATATGCTATCAGAATATTTGTCTTTTTTCTTCCTCTTGTAGTGTTGGCTGTATATTTTGTGGTCTCAAGGAACCCATCAAAGCCTGCATTCGTTTCAGAGCTCGAGTCCTCATCTTTAATATTGATGTCCCCATTACTAAAGGATTCCCGGTAAGTCTTGAAATATTCTTCTCTTTGAATGTTCTGATTTTCTTTCTAGGTGGCTCAGTATTCTTTTTGATTAAAAACCAATTTTAAACTCGGAGAGGAAAAACTTAGTAAACAAAATTGTGAAATCAGTGGCATTCTCTTGAAATTCCAGATTCTAGTTTAAAGAGGCTGCAGAGTTACAGCTTTGGAGGTAGATGCCTGTGTCTGCTGGTTTCTGATATGACGATATGCCCTGTTCAGAGAATGTGGGGGTTTCAGCCATGCCTGTCATTAATAAGACAGTATATGCGTGATTGTAGAAATGCACTTGGCTGTAAATTACCTAAAAATCTCAGTACCTGCCACAGGACTGCACTGATGTAGTAGGGTTCAAAAATGGATAGTAACCAAAAAACGTAGAGTGAATGAAGTATTTATTGTAATGTGTAAAAGTATAACTCATAAGAGTGATCTAGCAGTCATGTCCACAAAGATCCCATAAAGTCCAGGATGTGGCTCCCCAGGAGATAAGCTCTGAGTGAAAGAACATGTTTATGTTTACATTGTAATTTGAGGTGTGATTGCAGCAAGCACAGACACCCCTGAGTTAGCTTGGATCTAGCTAGCTTGAGTAACAATAGCCGTGTAGCCATAGCAGTATGGGCTCTATAAGTCTGCCTGGGACCCTGGGTATATACTCAGGAGGCTATCCCTCGCTTCCACTGTTTCATTGCTTTTGTTACTCGAGCTAGTGCTAGCTAAGGTCTGTCTACATGTGCTGCAGTTGCATCTCAAATTGCAGTGGAGACATACCCGGTGAGTGTTTGTGAACATGAGGTACAAATGCTTCACTGAGGAATGTCCATCAGTAAAGCAATGGATTTTATACGGATGCCAGCGTGTTGTGCTACCATTGGGCCAGTTCTTTATTTTGGCATGTGCATTAGTAGACAGAATTTTTCAGAAGTCAAACTTCAGAGCTTGAGGATCTTTCAGGCTCTTACAATGTAGGTAGGTGTAAATGTAGAATTTTAAAATGCAAGTTACTAACTGAAAAAAGTAAACTATTGTTATTTTAGGTACTTTTACACTATCAAACTGTAAGTGAGCCTGCCACTATTAGACGATTATTGAGTATCCTTCACAAGAGTACTGGCGAAGTCACAAAGAAAAAACCTAAGTAAGTATTTGCGAGGTGAAGAAATTTGGCAGGTTCAAATTGGTTAATATAAAACAAATTGCATCATATTATTCCCAAACATATTCTGTTTAACGATAAAATAATAATATACTTGCATATTCTATACTGCTTTTCATCTGTAGAGCTCAAAGCACTTTATAAAGCAAGGTGAGTATCTTTAGCCTTGTTTTGCAGCTGCTAAGGCACAGAGAAGTGAATTGACTTGCCCAGTGTCACACAACAGGTCATTAGCAGAGTCAGGAATAAAACATGGATGCCCTGATTCCCACCTCAGTGCCCTGTTCACTAGATCATGCTGCTGTAGTTTTATTTCCTGAAACAGGATAGAGTCTACAGTATGGTTTTAGACACTGGTTGACATATTGTTGCATGGCTGTGACATCGCCAAAATGGCCCACTCCCAGCGAATGCATGGCTGGACCTCACACTGAAAAGAAATGCAGAGGAAATCCTGAATCCTAGAAAAAAGATTTGTGTGTTTTGTCTCTAGAGAAGAGGTGATATCAGTGCCCCTCAGTATTCTGCACTTTCTCTCTCATCTCACACTGATTTTTTTTTCTTCTGCTCTCACAAGCTAAGCAGAGATAGCAGACTCACTACTTGGTTGGGTGACCACTATGGGTGACCACTAGGGGGGAAATGGAGGTGATGGTGATTCAGTAGAGAGCACTCACCTGTCTAAAGCAGTATTAAATCAATGCCCCAGCTTGCCGGTATTGTCGTTCACATGAGACTTAAAACTGAGATCCTGCTGCTTGTGGTCATTAAAGATCCCTTGATCTTTCACAAGAGTAGGGTTATTAGCCTTGGTGTTTAACCAACATCCCTCTTGGGTAATTACATTCTGCTTGATTGAATTTAAAAATCCAACCTGTAGTTTCAGTTGGACACAACATTTTTCCCTGTTTGCCCTAAGCTGTTGTGTGTTAGTACTGTGCACTGTTAAACAGTTGTCCCATGTTGTTCTACATATGGAAGTATTTAATTCCTGTAATTTCTAGTGTCTGTAACACACTTTGACATGCACCTAGATTGGGGTTCTCAGACTAGGGGTTGTGACCCTTCAGGGTTGTGACAGGGTCGTGAGCTGTCAGCCTCCATCCCAAGCCCCGCTTTGCCTCCAGCATTTATAATGGTGTTAAATATATTAAAAAGTGTTTTTAATTTATAAGGGGGGGTCGCACTCAGAGGCATGCTATGTGAAAGGGGTCACCAGTACAGAAGTTTGAGAACCACTGACCTAGATGAAAAGTGCTATGTAAATGAAACATCATTAATTATTAACAGCAATTTAGAAAGAGACTACACATCCAACTTGTGGAAAAAATTATCTACAGTGTTTGGCATTTAGTAATAATAGAGAAAGTTGGGAGAGAGCTTTTAAAAATTTACATTTTATTTCAGAACACAAATAGATGAAGCAATATTTAAGTAATCTGAAAGGAAAATGCACAGGGAGCTCTTAGTTCAGCTGGAGTTTACAAAAATTCTCTAACTAGAGTTGTCTGCTTTAAAAAGGAGAATTTCACAAAGCTGAAAACAATTTATGAGCTAAATCAGTTGGGAGAAATTATTTAAACAAAAGAAATATGAATGATAATTGGGAGTTATTTAAGAACATTTTAATAGATGCCCCAAAAGCCTCATTTGGGAAAGAAGGCTGTATTGGTTGGCTGAGAGGGAAATGAAAGCAGCTATTTAAAAAAAATTCTGTAATATATAACAAATGAAAAAAGAGGAAGTTGATAGTAATGAATATAAATCCCAAGATAGGATTTGTAGAAAATTGAGAAGGGAAGCGTACGGACACAAGGAGAATCTATGACCAGCACAGTTGAGGACAATAAGGAGGCGTTTTAAAAGTGCATTAGGAACAAAAGGAATCTTAACAACGGTATTGGTCCATTACTAGATTGAAATAATAGTAATAATGCAATATAAGTCAATGATAATGCAGAAAAGGCAGAAGTATTCAGTAAAAATGTCTGTTTTAGAGAAAAAGCCAGATGATGTATTCATATCACACGATGACCATGAAATACTTTCCATTTCAAATGAAATTGAAAATGCTAAGTAAGCAGCTACTAAAATCAGCAGGTCCAGATAACTTGCATACAAGAGTTTTAAAAGAGCTGGCTGAGGAGCTCTCTGGACCATTAATGCTGTTTTTCAATAAGTACTGGAACATTGGGGAAGTTCCAGAGAACTGAAAGAAAGCTTAATATTGTGCCACTATTTAAAAAGGGGAAATGGAATGACTTTGGTAATTATAGGTCTGTCAGCCTTACTTCCGTCCTGGCCAAAATAATGGCATGGTTGATACAGGACTTGAAAAAGAATTAAAGGAGAATAATATAACTAATGGCAATCAGCATGGTTTATGGTAAACAGATCCTGTCAAACTAACTTGATATCTTTATTCAATAAGATCATAAGTTTGGTTGATAAAGATAATAACGTTGATGTAATATATATAGACTTCTGTAAGGTATTTCATTTGGTTCCATATGACATTTTGATTAAGAAACTAGATTGATACAAAATCAACATGGTATATACATTAACTGGATTAAAGCACGGTTAACTGATAAGTCTCAAAATGTAATTGTAAATGGGGAATCATCATCAAGCAGCTGTGTTTCTAATGGAGTCCTACAAGGATTGGTTCTTAGCCCGACACTATTTAACATTTTCATCAGTGACCTGGAAGAAAAGACAAAATCATCACTGATAAAGCTTGTGGAGAACACAAAATTTGGGGGAGTGGTACATAATGAAGAGGACAGGTTTACCGATCAAATGCAATCTGGATAGCTTGGTAAACTGGGTGCAAGCAGACAATATGCATTTTAGTACAGCCGAGTGTACACTCATAATGTTTAGGAACAAAGGATGTGGGTCATACTTACAGGATGGGGTTCTCTATCCTAGGAAGCCATGACTCTGAAAAAGTCTTGGGAGTGAGGGTGAATAATCAGCTGAACATGAGCTTCCATTGCAATGCTGTGGCCCAAAAGGCTACTGCTATCCTTGGATGTATAAACAGAGGAATATTGAGTAGGACTAGGAAGGTTGTATTACTGCTGTATTTGGCAGTGGTGTGACTGCTGTTGGAATACTGTGTTCAGGTCTGCTATCCACAGTTCAAGAAGGATGTTAATTAATTGTACAGGTTTCAGAGAAGAACCATGAGAATGGGGGGAGGGATAGCTCAGTGGTTTGAGCATTGGCCTGCTAAATCCAGGGTTGTGAGTTCAATCCTTGAGGGGGCCAATTCGGATTTTGGGGCAAAAATTGGGGATTGGTCCTGCTTTGAGCAGGGGGTTGGACTAGGTGACCTCCTGAGGTCCCTTCCAACCCTGATATTCTATGAATGATTAAAGGATTGGAAAACATGCCTTATAGTGATAGACGCAAGGTGCTCCATCTGTTTTACTTAACAAAGTGCAGGTTGGGGGTAACTTGGTCACAGTCTGTAAGTACCTACTTGGGGAACAGAAATTTGATAATAGAAGGTTCTTTAGTCCAACAAACAAAGGTATAAAAGATCCAGTGGCTGGAAGTTGAAGCTAGACAAATTCAAACTAGAAATATGGCACAAATCTTTAACAGTGAGGGTAATTAACCATTGGAACAACTTTCCAAGAGGGATAGTCACTCAAAAGTTTTAAATGAAGATTGGATGTTTTTCTAAAAGATTCTCAAACAAGAATTAATTAAGGGAAGTCTTATGGTCTGTGTTAAACCTGAGGTCGGACTCAATTATCATAGTGGTCCCTGCTGGCCTTATAACGTATTAATCTATAACTTGCAATTGGATTAGATTTTTTATCTGCTGACAGATGTTTCACTGTTATTTTATAGATATATTGATAGATATAAAAATTGGGTGTTTTAATATTTTGTTTGCAGGGTCCTCACTAAAGGACAGAATGCTTTAATAGAACTACAAACACAAAGGCCTGTTGCCCTGGAATTGTACAAAGATTTTAAAGAACTTGGAAGGTTTATGTTACGCTACAGCGGATCCACTATAGCTGCAGGAGTTGTCACAGAGGTACGATGCTTTTGTAACAGACTTTCTAGAATGTTGATTATGGAGAGGTGGCAGCTTCTCCATAATAAAGGTTTGCAATCAGTTTCCATGACAAAGCCCTATTTTATCAGCCCCATTACTATGGATTGGGAAATGAATTTGACCTGAAAATTGCCAGATGTACTGTGAAGACAAAGGAGAACACTTCTGCAAAGTTTTGAGGAAAATTTGTCAAACTGTTCTTTGAAGTACAGGTCATTAAATGAAAAGAACCACGGTTTGAAATTTTAAAATGTCTCTTCTTCATATCACTCCAACTAAAAAATGGCTTATTACTATCCCTTCAAAGTTTCCACATAGATAAACTTTCCTGAAAACTTCTCCCTCAACTATGTTTAAAGAAAATAGGTTGCAATTAAGCAACATTGTTAATTTTTGTTGTTACTAGCTTTGGGCCCAGTCCTAGTCCCACTGAATTTAAAGGGCTTGTAAACCGAATCCTGCTTGCACAGACGGCTGTAGGAGTTTTCTGCTGTTAACTTCAGAAGACTCAGGGACAGGCACTATGCGCATGTGTAAAGACTTTTTGTCTTCTATTATCAGGATTGCACCTTTGAAAATACAAAGATTCCTCTAAACTGACAGACAGTGCCGTCTTTTTTGAGGCCTGTGTTTTTGGATCCGTAGGAGCTGAGTTCTAGTTCCAGCTGTGTTTAGTGTGTGATGGAAAGGTGCTGGTATCCTCCCACTTCTATACAGAGGCCCATGGTTTAAATAGTAGAACTCTTATCCCTATGCTTAAAACAATTTCCCAGAGCTCGTGAGGCTTTGTGAGCTATGTTACAAAGGTGTCTTAACATACTTTCTTGTCACAGTTTACACAGGACTCTGAGCTAGGGCCATGATCTTATAAATCACTTGCACACATTTAACGTCGCTACTGTGAGGTGTCCCATTGGGACTCCTCACAGTAATAAAGTTAAGCACATGCCTAAGTGCCAGTAGGTTGGGGCCTAAATAAGCTTGTGGCTTGTTAGGCCCTTCTTTGGAAATAACTTTTTGTAGGACTCAGTGTTGTTTCAAAGAATTTTAGAGAAAATTCAGACTATTGTCCCTGAAAATGTATCAGTAGATAATCTATTAGAATGTATACATTATGACCCTTTGGTGGTGGTCTCTGTTTTTTTTGCTGTAGTATTTTCATTTGTTTTGTTTTTTTATGAAATGACAACAAAACCTACAGCTTTTCTTCTTCTTCTTTTTAGATTAAAGAATGACAGTGGTGCTAAGTCTTCCATGACCCAACCAAAATGCAATCAGCCATCCAAACCGCTTTCCGAATCCAGTTACTTCAGCTGAAGGAACTAAGTGCAATTAAATTTAAAAAAAAAAAAAAATTTAAATCCACATTGGACATTTAGTGAACTTTTTATCAGTCTCTGCCTACTGCGAAACAAAATGCCAACTGACATGGAAATGCTAATGTTGCACAATCTCATTTCAAAAGGTTCCATATTTCTCTGTGAAATTCACCCCACATTTGCAGCTCATAGAGCTTTATGGAAACTTGTTTGGAAAGGTGCATTAGAAGATAAGATTGTTCCATGATGATTCACCATCTTGCTACTTCCAGCCATAGACTGTTTACATTTTTTTCTTTGATTTGCTCATTGCTGCACATTAATCCAGTAAAGTAACTTAATTGGTCTAATGTATTTTAAGGTTTGAGATGAATGCATTTTCAGGGAAAAAATAATTGTTTACTTCAGTTTCAGAGAATGGTATGTAATGTCATCCACAAGATTATTTCCCGCATCCCAAAATTTATTTAAAAAAAGAAAGTTTAATTTCATGTGTAGTGGAAGCTGTGCCAACAATGACTAATTTTATTTTTGAAGTATAAAAATATAATAAAGTAGCCTGGTCTGAGCATAATGTTTTGCCTCCTTCAAACCGTATTATTTAATTTAAACCCGTGCTAAATTCCATTACACTGAGTATAATTTTGCAGGACAAAACATTTCTATGTAAACATTATAAAATAAAACTAGAAACTGCATACTTAGCATGTGAGAGTATGTCTTCGCTGCAGAGTTAGTCCAGGCTCTTATTTGCGCATTGCACCAACACCCCTCCCATCATCGGAAAAACCCACTGATCCAATTTTAGTGATGCTTTCAACACGAGATTCCTTTCCCGCGGTACAGGCTATAGCCTGAATGATGTTTTCACTTGGGCTGGTAACCTGCTTATTTTGCAGTGAGGATGCATGTTAAACCACTCGAGTGCTGGTAGTCCTTCAGTGCCTTCCCACAATTCCCCCTGTGTGCCCTGAAGGACAGGCAAGTTCTCCCACTATTCATTGGGACTCAGCGTGACTCAGCTTGCTGGATATGACCCCAGAAGTCCTAGCAAGTGCAGGACACAGTAACTTGGGTAGCACTTTGCAGTGCGACTGTTCCCGTCCATGCTATTCTGATCTGGGTGCCCAGACATGAATGCGATGACCTGGATTAACTCTGTGATGAAGACATACCCTGAGATGTGAAGAACACTGAAGACTGGGCTTATAATTCTATTCAAGTGATTGCCCAAAAACATTCCCATAGGCATCTACCTATGCTCATCTATCCTTACTCTTCTCATACTGGTGGAAGTTACTTTGACTACAATCAAATGCATAGATCCCAGTTCTGCAAATACTTACACAAGTGCTTAACTTTACACATGTGAATTATCCCATTGACTTCAGTGGGAGTACTTATGTGTGTCAACTTTAGCATGTGCTAAGTATTTGCAGAATTGAGGCCTAAAGATGTGTCTTCACTGCACGTTTAACATGGGTAATTGACACCTCTGTGAGCTTAGGCCAGGTATGAATCACTGTTCTTGCACTCAGCCGTGTGTGTCTTGGGAGCTTATCCCATGGTTCTTTGTGGTGAGAAACACTAAGATTGTTTCACAGTCTGTTGCATCAGTTGTGGGAGAAGTTGTCTGTCCTTCAGGGGGAACTGTGAGAAGGGCACAGTAGTGCTATGAGCACTTAAATTATTTTGCCTGCATCCTCAGTGTGAAGTGGGCAGGTTTTGGCCCCAGGTAAACCAAAGCTGGGTTCTAACCAGAGGCCATGTTGATCTCAGGTTACGTGAATTTCTGGGCCTGTTACCCTCAAAACTGAACACTCGTTTGGGGAATTATACCATTATACCAGTACCATTAGTTACAGCTTCCAGTAGATCTTTAACAATGCATGTCTTTAAAGTTGCACTTAAACCATTATGGCAGCAGTCCTGAGGCTGACAAGATTCCAGAGCTTTCATACTCCCAAACACTTGCATTGAGCCACCTCAGTAGACTTACTTAAAACCAAGGTAACACTGTTTATAGATCTGAAATCCCAGGAGAGCTGAAGTGCTGGGAGTGGAAGAAAAGTATCCCCAAACTGAAAATTTTAGTCTAGTTCCTAACTCTTGTGCATGAGGAACCATATACATCAGAGCCTCTTTTCATCTTAAAAATGCAAATTGACCCAAGTGTTACACCTGGTTAGTACAAGGGACAGAAATAAATAAATGGTGGAAAAGATGAAGGAAAGACATGCTACAACTTCGAGATCAGTGATTTTTTTAATTTTAAAAGTACAGGTTCCACCACATTATTATTATTTCTCAGGCACAGCATGTCCTAGAGTTCTGTATGTTTTGGGTTAGAACAGTGGTTTTCAAACTTTTTGAGCTGAGGACCTCCCCGCCGCTCCCTTTGAGTTACAATTTTTGGTTGCATTCCCCCAACCCAGACAAAAATAGATACAATACCTGCCCCTCCCTCTTTGGGTTTTCAGGGTGGGGGAAGGCAAGTATGACGGTCTCTGGGGGCGGAGCCAGTGCTGGGTGCAGAGGCTGCTGGGAGCAGAAATCGGTGTGGACACGGTGGCCGTTGACACTCACTGGCTTGGGTGGCTTGCTGAGGTGAGTCAGGAGGTGGAGGTGGTGCTCCTTTTCTGAGCCCCACCATGTGGGGCAGTGGGTTGCTGCTCTCCCACAAATGTTCCTCTGTGCCCCCTTCCCCAGTTTGAAAACCTCTGGGTTAGAAGATGATGGTAAAATGTTTCCAGTGGAACTTGAGTCAAATATCTGGAATCTCTGGGTGAATTTCTAGCCTAACCTTAATATGGCCAAGATTTTACCCCCATCTTTTTCCTGTCTGCTATTGAAGATGGACTTGCAAAGCCCTAGCGTAGTACCTAAAATGTGAGTCCTGGCTCTCTGAGGGCAATGTGCAAGTGTTGCTTGGGTGTTGTCTGTTTCCCAGTTCTTAAACGAAAAATAGAATTCAGGAGGATTTCCCAGATCTCTTTAGCTGGTAGCTTTAGGGCTCTCCAGATTAATCTCCTTATAGAAGTATCTAACAATACTCTGTCTTAGGGATGTAGTTACAGAAAAATTCTAGGGATGAGCAATACCGCTCACATTGTTTACAAAACTCTCTTTGCAAAATGTAAAGTCCTTGTTGGATGGCTGCATGGGTATCCCCTATTAGGAATTTCATAAAACGCATGGTATTTTGTGTGATCGGTGCATTACAAAGGTGAAAAAAATTGTTCCTCCTAAAAGTACCTTTATTACATTTAATGTGCTCTTTTTCCTTGTGCCCCAGTCCCCATTTTACCCCGGATCAGTGCTAAGTGGAGAACCCAGAAGTCCTGAGTACTGCATGAACTTTACCAACTAATTCCACTTGATCTTCTCCCCTGCCCCCCCACCCCCAATCCCCATGAACACACCTTTTACTATTACAATACAAATGAACAAGCAAGCTAATCTGAAAATAAATCATATGTATTTGCATTATACAAGTGAGATGGTAGCCACACAAAGCCTGACTGACTATTGTGCTGTTTGTGTATACGCAACTTGTGGGGAGCTGCAGTCCATCTTTCCAACCAGGGGCTGAGGTGTGGTGGTTTCATTGCACTGTACCGCTTGTGCAACGTGCCTGGTCCCAGCAATGAAGTTCCTGTGGCACCTCTCCATTATGCTATCCGGTAAGGCTTGAGATTCAATGCCCAGTGGGTACAGCAGAACGGCTGAATGGCTGGTTTTGCCTGCAGCCCTTCCGGTTTCAAAACACACGAAAAGGCCATTGTACTGGCTTTTGACACCAGTCTGCATGCTGTCTGGGTACTTATCTGACCCTGTTGTTGTAGCACTGTTCATTGAGTTTGAAGTTGGGGTTGTTGAGGAATACGTTTTGAATACAGCAATATGATGATGTATACACTTTGATGACAGGGGATTTCCTTATTGAAACAATCTGCACAGTTTGAGAAAAATCTCGGCAGACAATATTTATGTCTGCTTCTATTTCTCAGGCAAGTAAAACAAAACTGCTTAAGTAAACGACAGAAGAAACTTCCTGATGGGAAGGTGTTTTATACTGTGGAATTGTTACGCAAGGGACGTTTAGACTGAAAAAGAAGCTAGAAAATGTACTGGAGGGGAGCAATTTCCCCCCCCCCACCACCACTGTTTGTCCCACTCTGTTCTAGTTTGGGGCTTTACATCTTTTTTGTCCTGCCATCAAGATTTTTGCTGATCCTGCCACCCTTCTTAAACAACACAGAATATTCTTGGTGAACGGTAGGAAAAGCAACCCTTTTCCTGCTCATTTGTTTCTGCTGGCACACAAGGGGTTATTTGTCGCGTTTCTCTCACTCACACTGGAGAGGGAGAGGAGAAAGAAGGGGTGGAGCTCAGGCTTGTAGTGTAACTAGATATGAGACCAGCAGTATAAACTGACAGCTGAAAGAAATCGCAGATGAAGCCAGCTGTTGACAATGGCTGGCCCAAAGACTCTCTTAGTGTTGGAGAACTTCATAAATGGTAAATTTGTCCCTTGTTCCTCCTACATAGACTCCTATGATCCATCCACGGGAGACGTGTATTGCAGAGTACCAGACAGCGGAAAAGAAGAGGTGAGTACAGCAGTTTCACTAACAGAAGGCAAAATAAGAATGGGAGCATAAATAACATCAGTGCAGTTGTTTGTGGGGTGGAAGGTGGAGAAATCAGGAAGAGGAATGTTCTAGTGATTAATTGTTTATATTTAAATGAATAAGTTCTTAACATTACTACAAGGCCAGGTAACATTGCTCCAGGAACAAATCCTTTTTGACACACTGTTCACTATTAAAAGCTATGGATCTGGTCCTCATCTAGTGTCAATCAGTGCAGTTTTCAATTACTTCACTGGAGGTTCGTCAATTACACCAGCAGAGGATGGAGTCCTCCGTCTTGCAGAATGCAAGTTGAAGGCAATGGTCACATCAGCAGTTTGCAGATGATAACACCAGAGTCAGGAAAAAAGGAGCTGTTCATCTCCACTCCATGAACAGCCCTGGAGACACTGTATCCAAATGAGTATCTTCTTCCTTAATATCTTTAATTTCTACTACTCGTTCAAAGGACTTTGCACACCAGGGCTCTTTCCATGAAACAGGATCAAAATCTCTCAGCCTTCCTGAGGTTTGATCTCTGCAGATGGAGTTTGAGCATTTAGAACATTGATATTGCAGGTGAAAGGGTAACAAATCATTTTAGTGCAGCTGCATGAATGTGATTTCTGTACACTGCAGTAGCCTGCTCTAATCAATGAGAGCAGAAAAGCAATATTCCTTTTCAGCCCTGCAATTAATCTTTGCTGCATGTTTTTTGCCACATCATTTGCAACAAGACACATATTCTGGAAACTGCCATTTAGTTTATGGCGAAGTACTGCTTATAAGCAACGAAGTTAGAGGTGTGTACAATGTAGTGTGCTGGGTTCAGCGAGGGGACAGATGAACGGAAAGGAGTTATATTACACTCCAAGGGCTTTCAAAATGTTGACTAATAAGTGCTCAAAATTGTTTCATTTTCAGAATAAGTGGTCTTATTAAAAGAATACCTCTTTCACATATGTATCAATCGTGTTGATCTCATTTTCCTTTTTCAGCAGAAACCTTTAGCACCATAATTTTGGTTGGGTAAATATTTGCAAGGTGCTGATAACTAATAGTTAAAGTGTAACCAGGCTGCCTTTGCTAGAATATGCTTAATGTAAAATCATGTCCGTACAAAACCTCTTTGTGCTTGAAGAATTGTTTTTTTCATGCATAAACGCTACGTGGGTCCCCATTTTGTTTATTCACATAAGTAGATGCACAAATAATTATAACAGTAACAGGGAGATTTGTGAGCATGCCAGAAGGACCGAACAAAAATAGGTTATGGGGCATCATAGCAGGCTAAATTCTAGATATCTAAGTGTAAGGTAATGCATATTTGAAGGAACACTAGCTTCTCGTTCAGTTTTCGGAGTCAACTACAGCATGCGCCTTAGGAACTACACTTAGGCACCAATCAACTTAGTGAAGTTTTCTGCTTAGGCCGGTGGGCTGCTGAACACAAGTGGGGAGGCTCTACAAAGCTGGGAGTTAGGGGCGGGTCTAGAGTCCTCCAGTGGAAGATATTGAAATACCAAAAAAAGAACAGGAGTACTTGTGGCACCTTAGAGACTAACAAATTTATTAGAGCATAAGCTTTTGTGGGCTACATCCCACTTCATCGGATGCATAGAATGGAACATATAGTAAGAAGATTATATATATATATATAATACATACACACACACACACAGAGAACATGAAAAGGTAGAAGTAGCCATACCAACTGTTAGAGGCTAATTAATTAAGATGAGCTATAATCAGCAGGAGAAAAAAACTTTTGTAGTGATAATCAAGATGACCCATTTAGACAGTTCACAAGAAGGTGTGAGGATACTTAACATGGGGAAATAGATTCAATATGTGTAATGACCCAGCCACTCACAGTCTCTATTCAAATCCAGGTTAATGGTATCTAGTTTGCATATTAATTCAAGCTCAGCAGTTTCTAATTGGAGTCTGTTTTTGAAGCTTTTCTGTTGCAAAATTGCCACCTTTAAGTCTGTTACTGAGTGACCAGAGAGGTTGAAGTGTTCTCCTACCGGTTTTTGAATGTTATGATTCCTGATGTCAGATTTGTGTCCATTTATTCTTTTGCATAGAGACTGTCCGGTTTGGCCAATGTACATGGCAGAGGGGCATTGCTGGCACATGATGACATATATCACATTGGTAGATGTGCAGGTGAACGAACCCCTGATAGTGTGGCTAATGTGATTAGGTTCTATGATGGTGTCACTTGAATAAATATGTGGACAGAGTTGGCAATGGGCTTTGTTGCAAGGATAGGTTCCTGGGTTAGTGTGTGTGTTGTGTGGTGTGTGGTTGCTGGAGAGTATTTGCTTCAGGTTGGGGGGCTGTCTGTAAGCGAGGACTGGTCTGTCTCCCAAGATCTGTGAGAGTGATGGGTCGTCCTTCAGGATAGGTTGTAGATCCTTGATGATGTGTTGGAGGGGTTTTAGTTGGGGGCTGAAGGTGACGGCTAGTGGTGTTCTGTTGTTTTCTTTGTTGGGCCTGTCCTGTAGTAGGTGACTTCTGGGTACTCTTCTGGCTCTGTCAATCTGTTTTTTCACTTCAGCAGGTGGGTATTGTAGTTTTAAGAATGCTTGATAGAGATCTTGTAGGTGTTTGTCTCTGCCTGAGGGATTGGAGCAAATGCGGTTGTATCGTAGAGCTTGGCTGTAGACAATGGATCGTGTGGTGTGTCCTGGATGGAAGCTGGAAGCATGTAGGTAAGTATAGCCGTCAGTAGGTTTCCAGTATAGGGTGGTGGTTATATGACCATTGCTTATTAGCACAGTAATATAAAATACCAGGTGCAGTTGACTGCATTTTAGGAGATATATTAAGACATGAAAATAAGCACCTGCTGTATTAGAATTCAGTACTGGGTCAGTGGCCACGTAAGTAGGGCTATTCACATGCATAAGGGTTTGCAGGATTGGGCTCATATAAATATTCAAACAGCCAACATCAAACTTAACCCTAGTAAGTAGGTTAGTCTCCCTCATTCACATACAGGAACACTGGTTCCCATGGACACCGAGGTCTGGCAAAACCCCTTTATCCTAAGGGGTCTTGTCCTCCTACAATTCCTGATGGAGAGAAACAAATTTACTTTACCATGTGTACTTTGACTAACATTTTAACATCCAGCTTTTTTTAAATTGTGCTTTCTCTCCGGTTTTTAGTCTGTTATTTCTCCTTTCTTATATGGAGGAGGGCAGGGGAAGTATATATGACAATAAACATGGGTTTATAATTACATTTTGATTACACACATTGTCTGTCTTGGCTCATTTGTTTTTTTTTTTTTTTTTTGACCCTTCTCTCTCTGATTCTTTTCCTCAGTCAACTTCAGTCTATTTTCTCTATAACTCTTTGCACCATCCCTCTCATTGTATTTCTATCTCCGTATCTCCTCTTCCTTTTCGTTTTCTCCTTAGATTAATTCCCTTCCATTTCCTTCTTCCCCATCTCTCCTCCTTGCCCCCACGTTTTTTTTTTCTTTTCCTCAGGCTGTCTTCCCCTCTTGGCCTGGGAGAATCCCTCTGTAGTGCTCACACCCCATACCTATAAAAATCACCAAAATGTTCAGGAAGAGGGGAATCTCTGGATACTACATGGGGCAATTAGTTCTGGATCAGGCAGCTTCCTCCTCTGATGAGCTACTGCACTGAGGCATACAGCATGGTGTGGAAGTGGCAGTGGAAAGAGGAAAGGGAGAAGCAGCCACAGCAGCAGGATGGCACCTAGTGGCGGAAGGGTGGATGAGCAGGGTATTTTAAAAAAGGAGTCGGGGGTGGGTCAATGTGGTCAAATGAATAGGGAGTCCGGAGCCCCGTGTTCTGTTCCTGGCTTAGCCAGTGACCTGCTGTGTGACCTTGTGCAGGACACTTCACTTCTCTGTGCCCCTATTTCTCCCAGCCTTTGTCTCATCTCTTTAAATGGTAAACTCATCACCTCACCATAATGTGTGAAAAGGAAAGGTATGTTACAGGGGACTTCAATTGGAGTGATGAGTGCTGGATCCAGTCAGCAGCTATGCAAGCAGTATTAAAACACCATTAGAGTTCATAGATGATAATTTCCTAACATAAACTGTATTGCACCCAACCCAAGGCAATTCTATTTTTGACCTCATCATGACAGATAAAGATAAATTAATCATAGGTCTGGAAGTTAGTGGTTACCTTAAGACCAGTGATACTGACCTGATTATATTCAGCATGGGCAAAGAGAGGGCAGTCCCAACCTGTGTCTGGCGTGCACACGTCTTTAAAAAGGGCTAATTTCCTAAAGCTGAGGGAAATTGTTTGGGAAGAAAAATATAGACAGGAAAATGTGACTGAAAATTGAGAGCTCTTTAAGAATGGTTTATTAGATGGCCAAAAGTCATGAATCCCCAATCAAGAAACGAAGCCCATTCTAGTTCAGTGGCAAAGTGAAGGCAGTAATTAGAATTTTAAAACACCCTATAGGAAATGGATAAAAAGAGAAACTGGTAGCTGTCGATATAAATTAGAAGCTATGAAGTGTAAAAAATAGAAAGGGGAAGCTAAAGACACCAGGGAAAATTTCATGGGTGGCAGAGCTAAGGACAATAGGAATTTTTTTTATATACTAGGGACAAAAGAAATCCTATAAAAGGTATACACTCATTACTGTATGGAGATGATGAAATTGTTAATGATTCATAAATATAGTATTTTTTGTATTTGGAAAGCAGGATATCATGTACTTATATCCTGAGGATGATGAAGTACTTTCTATTCCATTAGTAACAAAGGAGGATGTTAAAAATATCTGTTAGGGATAAACATTTTTAAATCAGCAGATCTGGATTAATTGCCCCCAAAAGGGCTAAAAGAATTGGCTGAATAGATCTCTGGCCCGCTGATTTTCATGTTTATTATACCTTGGAATACTGGAGAACTTCGTGAAGACTGGAAGAGTACTAATGTGCTAATATTCAAAAAGGGGAAGCAGGATAACCCAGTAACTATAGCCTGATATAAATCCTAGGCAAAATAATGGAAAAGCTGATGTGGGAAACAGTTGATAAAGAATTAAAGGATAGGTATATAATTGATGCCATTTAACATGGTTTTATGAAAAATAGGTCCTGACAAGCAAACCTGATTTCATTCTTCGATGAGATTACAAGTTTGGTTAATAATGGTAAGTGTGTAAATGTAGAAGACTTTTGTAAGGCATTTGATGTAATAGCGTTTGACATTCTGCTTAAAAAATTAGCACTATACAATATCAATAAGCAAACATTAAATAGACTACAAACTGGCTAACTAACAGATATCAAAAAGGTAGTCATCAATGGGGAATCATTCAACTGAGGGTGTTTCGAATGGAGTTCTGCAGGGATCAGTAATAGGCCTGATGCGATTCAAAATTTTCAACAATGATCTGGAAGTAAATATAAAATCACTGCTGATAAAATTTGTGGGTGACACAAAGATTAGCAGAGTCAGGACGGGGCAGTCGTACAGAGCTATCTGGATTGCTGGCGAAGCTGGCCCTATTCCAACAAAATGTTTCAGTACAGCCAAATGAAAGTAATATCTCTAGAGGTAAGGAATGAAGGCCCACGCAATGTGGGGCTCTATCCTGGAAAGCAATGACTCTGAAGAGAATCTCAGAAGCATAGACGACAAGTAACTGAATGTGAGCTTCCAGTGTGATGCTGTGGCAAAAAAAGGGCTTCATAGAGTCCTAGATTTCAAGGTTAGAAGGGACCATTGTGATCATCTAGTCTGCTCTCCTGTACCACACTGAACTTCCCCAAAATAGTTTCTAGAGCAGATCTTTTAGATAAATATCCAAATCTTGATTTAAAAGTTGTCATTGATGGAGAATCCACCACAACCCTTGGTACATTGTTCCAATGGATAATCACTGTCACAGATTTATGCCTATTTCCAGCCTGAAAACTGGGCTTGTCCAGGATTTGAACACAGGACTGCTTATATCCTAAGTGAGAATCCGACCTCTAGACCAACAAGCCATCCAAAGCTTGGGTGATCCTTGGATGTATAAGTAGAGAAGTAGTACTCAGGCGTAGGGAGGTGATTTCACCTCTATAACTGGCGTTGGTGATACTGATTCAGGAATCCAGTTCTGGTATCCACATTTTTAAAAGGATGTTGAATAAATGGAGTGGGTATAAAAAAAAAAAGAGCCACAAAAAAGGATTTAAGGGCTGGAGAAGATACCTTACAGTGAGACACTGAAGAAGCTCAGTCTGTTTAGCTTATCAAAAAAAAAAGATGGATAGGTGACCAGTTTACAGTGTATAAGTACCTACATGGGAAGAAAATACAAGGTATTAAAGGGCTGTCAATCTAGCGGAGAAAGGTATAACAAGACCAATGGCTGGAAGCTGAAGCTCAATTAATTCAAATTAGAAATAAAAATTTGTGTCTTGACCGTGAAGGTGATTTACTATTGGAACAAACTACCAACTACATCTCTTGATGTCTTCAGAACAAAACTGGATGCTTTTCTAGAAGACACGCTTTAGCCAAACAGGGCTTAGAATGGGGGTAACTGGGTGAAATTTAATAGCTTGTGATACACAGGAGATCAGACTAGATGATGTAATGGTTCTGTTTTACCTTCCTCCTGAGGGTTGGCAGAGGTCAGAGAAGGTAATGCTGGAGGCACTGCCTCAAATGAGGGGCCTGCATCTGCAAAATATGCTGCAGTGTTCCTAGAAGGGACTGAGATAGGCCATATATGAGACTGCATCTGGGATGCTGTTTATTGTCCTGGCACCTCACACTAGTAAGAATGAAAAACCCCAGAGCTTTGGAAGGGAGATAAATTCTCTTGTTTTGGGGCATAAGTGAAGTTCCAAATTATAGGATTAGCATGAAACTTTTCCTTTGGGCAGGTTATTCCATAGCTGTATTGCTTGCACTTTCCTCTGAAGCATCTTATCTTGGCTACTGCTGGAGACAGGAGGGTGGAGTAGATGGTCTACAGGTCTAATCTGATATGGCAACGCCCATGTTCCTAGAGAGACACCAGGAAACTGGAAGGAATTTCTAGAAGGGCCACTGCAATGATTAACCAGATGAGAGGGACTGACCTACAGGAAAGATTTTAAAGAATGAAATATGTTTCATTTGTTTAAATGAGTGGGACAAAAGGAAAAGAGAAGTAACTGTCTCAAAAAAACGGAAGGCTGTAACCATCAAGAAGTGATAAAAAAGGAGTATAACTAGAAGAAAGAAGAGAGTTAAATTTTAGGCAGAGTATCAAGAAGAATGCCCTCTTAATGTTGGTTAGATTGTGGGTTGTCTCTTGAGAAGACTGAGGGATGGCAACTGGACACACCACCTGAGACTATAATGTAAGGAAGGAACAGTCTTCTGCAAGGACAAGGTGACTCAAAAGATCTTTAGTCTCAATGGCTCTATTGATTTTGTTTTCCCCCCATGAAGCACTCTTGAAGTTTGCCATCTCTGCTTTATTCTTTCAGGTAGAAGCTGCAGTCACAGCTGCCAGAGATGCCTTTCTAGGCTGGTCCTCCAAAAGCCCTCAGGAAAGATCTCAGATAATGAACAAGTTAGCAGACCTGATCGAGCATGACCTGGAGGCATTTGCACAAGCAGAATCAAAAGATCAAGGTAAAGGAAGAATTCATCCATCTCTTTGTCTGTTCCCCAAAGAGGTTATAGAGAAGGAGGGTCTTGTTAAATATCAGGACTGAGTCACAATGGCCAGGTCCTATTCTTGACTCTAATGCAGGCTGTCTGTGTGATTGGATCCGTTCGAGTCAAATTTTTAAAGTTGCCACAAATTTTGTGTGCCAAACTAGACAGTCCTTGGGTTTGATTTTCAGAAGTGCTATGTTTCTAATCTTGGACACTCAGTACTAGATGCTGGTTTTGAAAATGTGGGCCTCTTAACTCCTCCATGCCTCTGTTTTCTTCGCTACAAAATATGGATGGCAATACCTGCGGCACAGAGGGGCTGAGGCTAAATTTAATCACTATTCATACAGCACTTTGAGGTCCTCAGACAGAGGATGCTCCCGAAGAGCGAAGCATTACCAGTCCTATGGATGTACTATAAAATCATCTATTTAATCTATAGTGGTAGTGGTGCCTAGAGGCTCCCAGACAAGAATCCAGGGCCTCATTGTGCCCGGCACAGTGTGCACACAGATGACAAAAACAGCCGCCAAAGAGCTTATCCTCTAAATGGTTGTTTACGCTATAATTTGTATTTACGCTATTCACGATGCTTTCCAAGCATCTAATTACTTCACCATTTATCATCACCAACAAAGTTTTTCCCTAGGTAGTGGGTAGGAATCCTAGTTCAGGGCTCTTCATTTGGAAGCTCTTCAGGGCAGATGCTTGTCTTCCTGTGTGTACAGCAGTATGCACACTTATGGTATTATATAAATATGTTAGTTTTTCCCTTGGGATAAAGTGCTTGATAATGACACAATGGCATGCTTGTTACTTTTCTCTTTCAGGAAAAACAATTACATTTGCTAGAACAGTGGACATCCCACGGGCAGCATACAATTTCCGGTTCTTTGCATCTTCTATCCTTCACCATACCACAGAATGCACTCAGATGGACCACATGGACTGTATGCATTACACAGTGAGAACTCCAGTAGGCATTGGTGGGTATTCTCAAAGGACAAGTGCTGAAAAGCGAGGCAGGATGTCTACCAAGAGAGGGAAAAAGTAAGAAAAACGGGGGCCTTGAGCTCTGCTGCTTATTTTTTTAACTTCAGGCAGCATTCACAAGCGCAGAGGGAGAAAGGATTCTCATAAAGTTAATGTTTACTGCTTCTAGATCCCATGTGAAGCTTGGACACTCCACTGTGAACTCTGGCACCCGCATGCCGCAAAATCAGTGAACAATTACAACATTTATCCTATTACAACATTTATCGCGCTATTCCAACATTTATCCTAAAAAGTTCCCTCTTCCCACAGTAGGACACTTCCCATCCTCAAAATCTTCTCTGTATTTGTATTTATCATATGTCTGGAAGTATGTACATGTGGTATGTAGACACATACTGTCTGGATGGGTGGGATTTTCAAAAACACTTAGAATTGACTTAATTCTGCTCTTGTTGATACCAATTGGCAAAGCTCACAATGACTTCAGTGGGAGCAGAGCTATGTCAATGGTGAGCATTTTTTAATGCTTGCATATTTATATCTGTTATTTTTGGAAAGCTAGCTACAAGATGGCGCTGTCACGTCAGAGAAAGTCTGAATACATATATTGTTTTAGAGCTACGTGAATAATGGTGCAAATATTTTATATCAGTTTGATTATTTAATACATTGTTTAATGAATTTGACCTGTTTAGTTCTCTTCTCATGAGCAATTGAAAATCTGAGTCTTACTGACCAAAAATGCTCACAGACATCAAATTTTAAATTCGTTACACATGCCTTTGTTGGAACTCTGTTCACTCTCTTTCAATCTAACATAAGAACGTCCATACGGGGTCAGACCAAAGGTCCATCTAGCCCAGTATCCTGTCTTCCGACAGTGGCCAGCGCCAGGTGCCCCAGAGAGAATGAACAGAACAGGTAACCATCAAGTGATCCATTCCCTGTCGCCCATTCCCAGCTTCTGGCAAACAGAGGCTAGGGACACCATTCCTGCCCATCCTGGCTAATAGCCATTGATGGACCTATCTAGCAACAAGGAGTATCACATAACCAATCACAACTAAGCATCACAGCTTGGGTTTCAAATATTTGTGATAAATACACAAAGTAAGAATATTCATGAAGATAGTAATTGAATAAATTTAAATAGCACAGCAATTTGAGGAAGGCAGTCTGTTCATTATTATCCTGGACTAAATTCATCAGGTAAATTATTCATTGTGCCTGATGCACTCAGCTCTAATATTTGACAAGGGCCAGAAGTGGCAATCTATGCGTATTTGTTAAAACAAAACAAAAATTTTCGATTTGCACATCATTGAATTGTGAATTCTGAACACCTGGACCTGACTGTAGGGCATGACAAAGCTCCTACTGCAATGTCTCTCTGCTACACTGGGACAAAAGTACAGCAAAAATCAGTTGTTCAGTTGAGGCGGTCAAATATATTTGCACTGGAAATGTTTGGCATAGTTTAGATGGGTTATTCAGAAGGCGTTGGCCATTAGAAATGGCCCTTATTGTAGGATTCACTGTACCATTAAGAATAAGGTACGGGTGTAAAAGCTATAGCAGAATTTCCTTCATTGTCCTGCCATACTGAAGCTTTGGCTTCCATCTGGGTAGGAGGTGCCAAGCCTGGGCATCAAATTCAAATCTCCTGTCCCAATACATTTGGCCTCTTGATTTTGTCCTTTTCTTTTTTCCTTTGTAGCTGGTTTAATAAGTCCTTGGAATTTGCCACTTTACTTGCTGACCTGGAAAATAGCCCCAGCCATTGCATCTGGAAACACTGTCATCGCCAAGCCCAGTGAGATGACATCTGTCACTGCTTGGATGATGTGCAAACTTCTGGGTAAAGCAGGTAATTTGGAAACGCCTTCGGCACAGGGACCCCTACTGTCTGTTGCCTCCTTTGTTGCAGAAGTTGGAAGGTGCACAGTGAATGAGGCTGAGGATTGCAGGAGGAGAAAGGATGATCACCGGGTTAAGGGAGCTGAATTCTGCCCTGGAGAACTGATTTCTATCCCTGCCTCTCTCCCATACCTTCCCTCCCCCTGCCACCATCTCCACATCGCCATGTATTCCCTTCACCTCACCTCTGCATTCCATTAGGCTGTTTCTCCCTCCACAGTACTTGAGTGCCAGCAGGGGGAATGTGGAGAGCATAGGGAAAAGTCTGTCTGTTCTCAGTTCCTGTGCCTGGTGCCACATTGGTCCCCAGTAGCTGGGAGCAGCAATTGCAGAGAAAGTACTGCTCATCCTTCATCCCCAGGTTGAAGCATGCTCAGTACAGATGGAAGCTTCAGAAAATAGAGCTGCCAACCTCTAAGGCTGTGTCTTCATGAAGAAAAACTAGCTACTTTCAGTTAACTAACACAAGGTAAAATTCTAGTGAAGACAAGGCACTTAGTGGTCCTCACACAAATTAGCAGGTCAAGTTAACCCCTAGGTCTACCCCATAGTCTTCAGTTCAACCTGCTAACTTGTGTGAAAGCTGCAAACACTCTTCTCTTCACTGATTTTAGTTCATGTTAGCCAGCTCGAGTTAATACACTTTTATTTCCTAGTAAAGATTCGCAGTTAACAAGCCTCCACTGACCATGTACAGTCTGTGATTTTTCAGTGTCTTATAACTTGTCCCGATGGGTGCAGTTTTTCACAGCACCAGCAAAAGGCCCATTTCTGACATCAAAGGGACTTCTCTGCCAAACGTCAAGTCCCTCTCCTCAAGTATGTAGGCATTAGAACTTCCAGAGAAAATGGCTGCAGGAATATCTTTAACCTGGGCAAAACAATGAGTTTTTCTTAAATTAATTCTCAGAAATGGCTGAACTGTTGACTGTTTGCTGAAACTTTAAAAGAAAGAACAGGAAAAAAAAGAAAGAAAAGTGTATCAGCCTAAAGCAGATACCCAACATGGAAAATTTCAGACCTAATGGTGAAAGTTTGGCGCAAGTTTATATCCAGTGATGAGCTGCCAAAATCTTAACAACAGGTTCCCTCGTCACCCCATGAGGGGGTCGTTGCCCACCCCCACGGGACTCCTGCCCCATCCAACCCCCCCCACGTTCCTTGATGCCCCCCCCAGAACTCCTGCCCCATCCACCCCTGTTCCCTGACTGCCCCCAGAACCGGGCAGCAGGGTCTCGTGGGCCACTGTAGTGGGTGCCCATCCCACCCCTAAGAGCCAGAGGTACCTGCCGGGGGGTGAGGTGGGGAGTCCCTGGGGCAGCTCCCAGGAAGCATCCGGCAGGTCCCTCTGGCTCCTAGGGGCGGGGGAGCATAGCTGGGGGGGAGCAGGGGGAGCAGCCGCTCCCCCACTGATCGCATCAAAAGTGGCACCTTAGGTGCCAACTCCGTGGGTGCTCCAGGGCTGGAGCACCCACGGGAAAATTTGGTGGGTGCAGAGCACCCACTGGCAGCTCCCCACCCCGCGCCTGGACTCAGATCACCTCACCTCCACTCCGCCTCCTCCACTGAACGCACCGCCCCGCTCTACTTCTCCGCTCCCTCCCCTGGCTTCCCGCGAATCAGCTGTTCGGCGGGAAGCTGGGGAGGGTTGAGAAGCAGGCGGTGGCTTCACACTCAGGCCGAGGGTGGTGGAGGTGAGCTGGGGTGGGGAGCGATTCCCCTGCGCCCCTCCCCCACCCCGGTTACCTGCTGCTGCACGGGAGGCCCTCCTCGCGCCCACCGGCGCCAGCTCACCTCTGCCTCCCTGGGCCTGAGTGGGAAGCTGCAGCCTGCTTCTCGGCCTGCCCCAGCTTCCCGCGCGAACAGCTGATTCACGGGAAGCCTGGGGCGGGCGGGGCGGCGCATTCAGGGGAGGAGGCGGAGGTGGAGCAGAGGTGAGCTGGGGGTGGGGCGGGAAGCTGCCGGTGGGTGCTCTGCACCCTCCAAATTTTCCCCTTAGGTGCTCCAGGGCTGGAGCCGGTTATCCCTCGTGGAACAACCGGTTCTAAAAGGGCTTCTAAATTTAACAACCGGCTCCAGCTCACCACTGGTTATATCCCACTGAAAACTGAGCCTTATAATGGGAGGTGTCAGGCAACCTTAACTATTGGCAGGGCTACCAGGTCCCCCTGTAGTAATACAAGAACAGAGATTAAAACCCAATAGTTCAATGTTTTATCTAGTTATTTCTCCTATTTTGCTCAACCACCCTTAAAGTCAAGGGCATCCTCGTTAATGTAGCACTATTAGTAGTTTGCTGGCTTCCGAGGGGAGTGCAGAATTAACCTAGCTACCCCAAAGTAAAGGACATGAGTGTTTTGTGTGTTTGTTCCCATGAGGAATCCCTCCAGGGGTGGTGAACACTGTGTTTGGAACTGGCCCCAAAGCTGGGGAGGCTATTGTCTCCCATCCTGATGTGCCACTGATCTCCTTCACTGGAAGCACGCTCACGGCCCAGCACATCAGGGAGAGGAGTGCCCCACACTGCAAAAAGCTCTCTCTGGAACTGGGAGGCAAGAACCCTGCAATCATCTTTGAGGATGCTAATCTGGACCAGTGCATCCCTACCACTGTGAGATCCAGCTTTGCAAATCAGGTAAAGGGAGATGCCCCTCTCTTAACCTTGTTACATATTAAGTGTGTAAACAGCAATGTGTGCATGTGCATGCATTTCTCCTTGTCTGACTCTTAAATAGTCAAAGGTATTTTGTTAAGATTCCATATCATTAGCAGGGTGTAGGTAGAAACTTATGAAGTTGATGCTTTCTTGATCCTAGCAGCAGAGAAACAATGATAGTAAATAATTTGATATTATAGGAAAAGAAAAGGAGTACTTGTGGCACCTTAGAGACTAACCAATTTATTTGAGCATGAGCTTTCGTGAGCTACAGCTCACTTCATCGGTGCATCCGATGAAGTGAGCTGTAGCTCACGAAAGCTTATGCTCAAATAAATTGGTTAATCTCTAAGGTGCCACAAGTACTCCTTTTCTTTTTGCGAATACAGACTAACACGGCTGTTACTCTGAAACCTATAGGAAATGAGTTACTTATCCCCCTAGAAAGTAGGTAAGTTATTTATCTAGAAGGGAACAACTGAGAGGTCAGGTGGCTTCCCCAGAATCAAATGAGTCTATACAACAGATAGGTATAAACCCCTAGGAGTTCCAATTACCTGATTCAACTACTAGATGCTCCCATTCTTTGTCAACATCTTCAGCAACGATCAGCAAGCCTATGAAAATTATTTCAGTGGGTACGAAGATAACTTGGCAAGTCAGGAAAAGAAAAAAAGCATTTCCAGGATGTCAGGGTAATGATCATTCAGACATGGAAAGTAATGTTTCTGTGAGAAGTGATGGGGAAGATAAATAACCAAGACTTAATAATAAACTCAACAGTCAAGATGTCTACATCCCTTATTGAGTGACCGTGTGATTTTATTATTGTCCCCGTTTCTTCTTTCTCCCCTCCAGTCTGTTTAGGATTCTCAATTTTGAGTGTCTTTAAATTTAGTTTGTGCTCTTTGTGGGGTAGGGACTATCTTTACGTGTTTTGTGAGGGGCCTAGCACATTTCTGGGCACTCAGCAGTAACAATATTGCAATTAATTGACAGTATCTTTGTTTCTCTCCTCATGTTTGATAGGGTGAAATCTGTCTTTGCACCAGCAGGATCTTTGTTCAGAGGAGCATTTATAATGAGTTTTTGAAGAGGTTTGTAGAAGAAGCCAGAAAGTGGAAGGTTGGGAGTCCCTCAGATCCCACAGCCAGTATCGGGGCACTGATAAGTAAAGAGCATTTAGAAAAGGTAACTGCAGAGGAAATCCTGTGTGAACTATAGTCACATTTTAAAGCTCCAGAAAAGATGACTTGTACATGACTGTGGTGAGGACCATGTCATCGTCTGTGTTAGTACCATGCCAGTCACACTGTCATTTCCCCATAAATGGTCATTAAAAAGTGTCTGATGATTAAGGTGTCTGCTGTGTATGGGCTAGGTTCACATTATTGCCTCAGAAAAAATAAAGTCTGTGGACAAATAATTTTAAACTAAGCGATCAAGCTGTTATTGTGAAAGTACTTAAATGAATCTTACAGTGCCAAATTAGGCAACATTTTCATTGACTTAAGTGTTGGGCCTATAGCGGTGACCTATTTGCCTCATAAAACAAGTTGCATTTAGATTGCAGTATATCCGATTTATAATGCAACTACTGAGGAATGCAAAAGCACACTTTCTCTGGGATACTGAGTGGCTTTGGGGCAATTGGTAATGGTATATACATGGAGACTTGTAGTCCACAAATTCCAGGAATTCCGCTTCGGCCATGAGTGGCTGACAGTGACAGTAGTTACCCTCTGGTGGCTGCTGGGTGGTTGATGTGAAATGAGTATAATGGTCTCAGCCAGTGTGCTGGAGATCAGGTGTCCATATCATAAAACCCACTGATGCAAATGGCATGAGCTGGTAACATGCTGACAATCTTGCACAGAAGAGAAGGTTCAAATAGGCAGAGAGACTGATCTCTTCCTTTGGGCCCTAGTGCTGGGCCCTCCAGGTCAGTGATGACACGTATTGGTGAATTACCCTACACTGTTGCTGCCTCTGCTGTACCTGTTCTTTGGCTACATGGAGGACTTAAGTCTCAGGGAGTCTCTCTGGGCACCTTTCAGGGCTTCTTTCACACGGAGCATTTAAAAGAAAGGAGTGGAAAAAACCCGGTGATTTATCTGTGGAATTCCTAGAGTGGGAGAAAGCACCCAGTAGTTTCAAAGCTGTAGATGGAACAAGATCAATAGCACGACCTGTATGCTCAAGATAGCATATGATAGCAGCAACCACATAAATTGTTGTAATGGTTTATTGACTGTGTTTTCTGTTGTGCTCATCACTGTAGCGTCTGAGTGCCATGACAACATGTAGTGAGCTTCCTTGTATGGTAGGAAAATGTAATCTCTCCCATGTGACACCTGGGGAAACTGTGGCAAAGAGAGGTGTGGTGTGTTGCCCATGGTCATAGATGAAGTCTATGATACATAAGGGATAGGAGCCAGGTCTTCTGTGCTTTAATAATGTGACTATTGTTCCACCCCTTCCAAATGTATTTAGAGGAAGGAACAAATTAATGTTTTGGCTAGCAGATTAATGAGAGAAAGGGAACAGTTTACTTACAGGGGAAAATGCTCTGACTTCTTTTTACATATATTTGGCTGCAAAACCTAGGGAATGAGACCCTGTCAATGACAGGGGGAAAATGCCAACGTGGAACAGTGGGATCCTAGGTTCCCTGTTGATTTATCCGTATTGAAAATATGAACTTTACAGCATTTTCAGTCTCCCACATTAACTTTTTGCCCTCCCCCATTCAGGTAAAGAATTATGTGAAGAAGGCTCGAGCTGAAGGAGCTAGAATTCTCTGTGGAGAAGGAGTGGATTCTTTGGCTCTTCCAACTGGAAATCAGAATGGCTATTTCATGCTGCCTACAGTCATTGCTGAAGTCAAGGATGAATCCTGCTGCATGCAAGAAGAGATCTTTGGTCCCGTGACATGTGTGGTACCGTTTGATACGGAAGAGGAAGTGATTAAAAGAGCCAATGGTGTCAAGTATGGCCTGGCAGCCACGATATGGTCAAGCAATGTGGGGCGTGTTCATCGTGTGGCGAAGAGACTGCAAGCTGGCCTGGTGTGGACCAACTGCTGGCTAGTCAGGGAACTGAACTTGCCATTTGGTGGAATGAAAGCATCAGGGATAGGCAGGGAGGGAGCAAAGGAGTCTTACGAGTTTTTCACTGAGGTCAAAACCATTACAATAAAACACTGAAATTTGTCCATTAAGTATTTTATGGCAAAATAAACAACCGACATTTGTGCTTACAAGCGTCTCTGAGATATGCCAAGACATCATGGCCTGCTTATAGTTAATTTTTATAGAAATCCATTAGTTTATAAATACCAGCTAAAGCTAAAGATGCACAACTGGCAGCAGAGAAAGTAGATTCTGTATCATATCCAAGCCACAAACCTGATTCGCAGGGCTCAAGGAGATCCTGAGGATTCCAAAGTTAATTCACCATTTCTTTCTCAAGCTGTTCCAATAAAAGGTATTACCTCACACATCTTCTCTCTCTCATATCTTGGGATCGCCGCAACAACACTGCGAATACATGTCCCCCAAAAAGGCCGATTAGAGACAGGGTGATAAATAATGATGGTTGTGGTCAACAAATCACCTTGAGTGACAAAGATACAAGCAAGTGATGATGATATGTTCTAGTAGGAATAAACATATTTCCTCTCTAAATGGGTAATTCCCATTAACAATATGGTTTGCACTTTGATTGCATCATCAAACTAGTACTAATGAAATTTCACACTAAAATCCCCAAGGCAGTGCTGCTAATCTATTTAGTTGTGCTAAACTCTAGAGCGGAGTGGGCAAACTTTTTGGTCCGTCACATCGGGGTTGTGAAACTGTATGGAGGGCCAGGTAGGGAAGGCTGTGCCTCCCTAAACAGCCTGGCTACCGCCCCCTCCCACTTCCTGCCCCCTGACTGCCCCCCTGAGAGCCCCCGACCCATCCAACCCCCCTGCTCCTTGTCCCCTGACCACCCCCTCCAGGGATCCCCAGGACCCCACCTATCCAACCTTCCCTGCTCCTGTCCCCCCCTGATCCCTATCCACATCGCCGCCCCCTGACAGACCCCCCGGGACTCCCATGCCTATGCAGCTGACCTGTTCCCAGTCCCCTGACCGCCACACCCCGAACCTCCACCCCATCCAACTGCCTTGCTCCCTTACCATGCCACTCAGAGCAGCAGGAGATCGCACCCCTACCAGCCGGCTGGAGCCTGCTGCGCTGCTCGGCAGGAGTGGCGGGCCTGAGCACTGGCAGCGCGGTGATCTGAGGCTGCAGAGGAGAGGCCGGGGGCCATAGTTTGCCCACCTCTGCTCTAGACCCAGGATATTCCTGTAAGGCACAAATAAAGCAAACATATTTTCATCATAACTCTTTTTTAAGGTATGTAGCTGTATTGTCGTCCTTCTAAAATGGTTATTTTGATGTTATAAACTTTCATCATGTAGATTGCTCCTATGCTGGTATTTTTCACATTCCTAAAAGTAATTTGGCTGGCAGAACTAGTCACAGATATACCCATTGATAAAGGCTGGAAGTGACACCTTTTAGCAGGACTGTTTGAAATATTTGTTAAAAAATAAAAAAAAAAAAAAAAACGACTTAAAATTAGCCAATTTTTCATTTTCAGGCTTCTGTTAAAATGGCCCACCTTGCAAAACTTTCCCATTGGTGAAAATGGAGTTGAAGTTGGGCACAATTTCTCTCCTACCCCAAGTAAATGCCAGTGGACATATCAGAGCAGTTTTTTGTGGTGTATTCTTCATGTTTTGAGCTGGATTTTATCACTCGGTTGAAGTTGCATGGTGGTCTTTCAGGTTCCAGGGCCATTTTGACTAATTTTCTCATGAATTAGTCTCAGGACTAATTTTTTTGTGGGGGAAGAAGGAGATATTCCCCCTAGACACTTACAGGTGTTGAGTAACCAGAGACTGACCATATGGGGGAGTAGCAAATTATTGCTCCTCTGCCCAGAACAGAGAAAACACAAGGGAAAGGATTCAGGGTTGACTAGGAGAAGGATCTTTTTTCAGGGCCTGTTGGGAAGAGGGATAAGGAGCTGGGATGGCAGGCCAAGGTGTACCTGGTAGCAGTAACTCAGGTAATGTTTGGAGAACCGTTCAGACTTGAATACTAATTCATAATTTACCTTTTGAGGTTCCCACATGAGTAGTTTGATATTTTTGCCATTGTGTTACAGCTGGATTACTTTGCACACTCTGAAATGTATGGTTTCTAAGGAGGCTTTTACTGCATGTAGCTTGGCTATGCTAATGCTGGGATTTGCATCCTTTTTCTATTAAAATTTAAAGGGTCCAAAGGCTGCTCTAAATTGCCCCAGTCCCTGTGTATGCCTCCTTTGGAGATGGAGACACCGGGTATAATCGGCTACTTCATGGTCCCTTTGTATTTCTTTCATGGTGGCACAGGGCCAAAGTTAGCATGGGCCAAAGATCTGGCCCTTCTCAGGTTGAAAAGCCTTTCATTCCTGTGGGCTGCTTTGTCTGCTGTGTTTGCAGTTTGTGACCATATGGTGGCAGCAGAGTACTTGGTTCATTTGTTTTCCTTTCTGTTGCTGACCTTGCCACCAGAAAAATTAACAATTAAAAGGGGTCTGCTGGTAGTATACTGAACTCTTTTGAGGAATCAAGTACTCCAAGGCTGTGAAACCACTTAATCTGAGAGCAGATGCCCTCAGTAGTGGGGCCTGGCACATCACACAGAAGGCTAGTTTGAAGCATCACCTCAGTCTTGCATGGGTGTAGCTTAGGTGAGCTGCTTTTCCTTCAGGTATGGATTTTGGCTGAGCATTGAGCAAGCTGGGGAATAATGTTGTTTACGTGTGATGTAAAGGAATTATCTGAGTGTTATCTGTGTGCTGCTTGTCCTTCAGCCCACAATGTCTTACCAGCTCCAGGCACAAATACTGAGTGGAGAAAGGTCGACTGAGCCTTGCAGCAATCTTCAGATGAGGACTATGTGGGTGGTGCAGCACTTGTCCAAAGTGACCCTCTGGGTTCACTCTGAGAGAGAGAACCTGAGCTAGTTCAGAACTTCTTCATTCACTCCTGCAGCTTCTTGAAGACAGGAGGAAATAGGTAATCAACGGTGTCAAATGCCATGGGGAGGTTAAGGAGGACCAGCAGGCTGAGTGTATATGATATTTCCCTTGTCTCTGGGCATGAGGAGATCACACACCAGAACAATGAATACTGTCTTTGGTCCACATTTTCCACAAGCTCTAGCTTTCTTCCTTTTCACTCTGTTTTTTGTTTTGTTTTTTTTAGTTGTAGATCTGATTAAACAAATGGAGATCTCCACAGGCAGAGGGCTGGGACAGGGCGCTTCGGTGATAATGTGTGTAGCTCAGTGGTCCCTAAACTTTTCACAGTCCCTCTCCCCTGCCCCATACCCATGGAGCTGGGGCCAGGAGCAGGGCCGCAGCTCCCGGTGGGGGGGGGGGGGCACAGAGAGGGGTAAAAGGGCCGAGGCTAGGGCTGGGGCTGCAGCTGGGGGAGGTCTGGGGCTGCGAACGGAGCCAAGGCAGGGAGCAAAGCCATTGCTGGGGGCTGAGGCTGGGGGGGAGGGGAGCAGCAACTGGGAATTGGGGTAGAGCGGAGGACACAGAGTGGGACTGGGTGGTGCTCCCTCCCTGTCCCCCATGGGGGCTGACCTGGCCCCACTGTGGCCCCCCCAATGTTCCTCTGCACCACCCTCCGGGGACATTTCCCATAGTTTGGGGTGCTGTAGCTGTAGTCAGGAAGTAGTTTTAGTATTCACTTATTCTTTTATTCCTTGCCCTCTTGAATGAGTAGAGTTTCCTATGTGTGTGTTTTGTAATTCAGCAGGGTCCAGGACTTGTAGGATGGACCACGGTGGTTGGTTTCTTTTTGCCTTGTGATGAGGAGAATTCTTGTGTCTCTACTGTCCACCTCCAGCCTCAGATGGCAGTTAGCAATATGGGCAGCTGTGTGCGGGTCTGGTGATCACCTATAAAGTGGAGAGTTCAGACAGGGGCCTGGTCTGCTGTAACCAAGTGCTATTTACATGGAGACTGAAGTCTCCCAAGTTACAAAATCGTGTGAACTTCATTTCCAGGTCGAACAGATCTCTCACAGTTCCTCTGGGCCGAGTTCAGGGTCTAGAAATTTATAGAAAAGTACAATGCATTGATTAATCTTGCCTCTGAATTCAGATTACGTGGATGCACTCAAACGTTTTTCTTCGGGATGAGCTTTTCCTTTGTTTGAGCCTGCCAAAGAATAGAATGGCTACTCTGTCTCCAGATTTTCCTCCCTGCGTTGAGCTGTGGTTAATAAAATATCCTGAAGGACAAGGTGAGCTAACACCAGGCCTGAAGCATCATTCTGCCAGGTTTCTGGTATGCTGTCAGGGTTGGGTAACTTTGAGTTTTCCAACCCTGTGGGGAAGTTTTATTACAAGCTGCCCTGACTGGCAAGAGAAATCATGTGAATGTTGTGAGGATTTGTTTAATTACTTTTATGTAAGCCCTGAAGAGTTTGGCCATCTGTTCATCCTTACAGATGGCATAAGTATAGTTCTATGTAACACCCAGAGATTATCTCACTGGGGTGAGATGATTCCTACACATGGATGTGGAGCTGTGTATGCACCATACTGTACAATGGTTAATTAGGGCTTTTTTGTTCTTCATCAGGGCTTTTCTTAACATGTTTAGATCTGTAGCCACTTGAACGTGCTGTGTTAGTGGTCATATGGTGCTTGAAAAAACAGGTTTGCTTGTATATACTGTTGGCAGGAGTGTGAAGGGAAACAGGGTGTATACAAATATCGAATTGTGTTACATCCCTGCCCCTACAGTCTTCTCAGCTTTGACAAAGGCCAGTCCTTTTGCTTGTCTCCTAATTATGGAAATGGGATACAACCTCTTCCCGTAACAGACATTTCCCGTCTAATGGTAGGTACTGGAATACAATGGCAGGGATATGGAGTCAGAATTAAGGTTGTTTGTGGATTTCTAGGCTTTCAATGCCAGGCTTTAAAATTCATCTGCATGCAGAGCTAAGCCCCACACCTGTGAGGTCAAGGCCTAAAACTTTCTTTTTCCAGTAGAGAAGTATAGAGCTGGAGTCCTGAGGGACTAAGATGACCTTATACCTGCCACAGGACTGGCCTCCAGAGACATACGAATTAGTTTGTACTAGACATGGGTGAGTGTTTGCTGAAAACCTACCAAGGCTATAGTAGTTAGAGTTTCAACTGTCCACAGTCCTTGCCTTTGAGATCGTCATTCACTTGGTACACAACTAAGCATTTGAAAGGGTTTGCTGGGCTAGTGGATTCATGGTGTTATCCTGTAGGGGGATTGGCTGCATTTCCTTAAAATACTCTTAGGCAGTTGTTCTAACTGAAGAAAAATGCAACAAATTTGGGGCCAGTTTCTAACCCCTTCACTCATGCTCATTGAGAATTTCAGTGAGACCACTTGTGGAGTAAG